ACATAGATAGATAGATAAATAGATACAGGTATATTTGACGCACATTAAACTGAATGTTTTTGTTTATACATATGGCTGCTTTTAAAGCTTGCAATGATTATTCTTTTTCTTTCTCTTTTCTCTTTCTCCATCTCTCCATCTTCGTCAGGTGGATCAGTACAAGGTGACCAGCCCTTCACCTTTAGGCTCCCTGCTACTGGTCAGACTGGAGAAACAGAGGTACTGGGTGGAAGATAACTGGTTCTGTCGCTACGTCACAGTGGAGCCTCCAGGTGGAGAAAAAGTCCTGACTTTCCCTTGTTACCGTTGGTTTATAGGAGACTTCAAGTTGGAGATAAGAGAGGGAACAGGTAGGAAAGTTTTCAGAGGCTTTCAGAATCAACTCCTAATGCTCATCTGTGAAAGTACAGTCAAGAGACGTTTGAGCTAGGCTGCTAAATCAAGAACTTCAAGACTTTCCTCTCGACCACCAGCTCAACCATTACATTAAAGAATCAGAGTGTAGGTTTTATTGGCAACTATTGTTGAGGGTTGCTAATCAGCCACTGGTCACCCCTCTCTTTTCAAGTGCATAGGAAAAGCTTCAGTGGCCGACACTCTCCATCAGCTCTTGTGCTAAATGATACGTGTGGTCCTCTTTTTGTCCAAATTTCACATCTCTTCCTACTTCTAGCAAACAAGACTACTACTTCTACTTCTAATTCTTCTTTTACTTACATAAAATACATACATATTCAATGTAGTGACGAAACACACTCTGTAGAGCAGTTTGTCCGTTTGGGCTACTGTAGAAACATGGCAGTGCAACTTCCATGTAAGGGGACCCGCAGTGTATGTAGAAAGAAATGGCTCATTGTAAGGTAATAAAACATCATAATGCATATAGCCACTGGAGGGGGTGCGTAGATGACATGGGTAAAAATATGGAGTGAAAGTGATTTATGTAGGGAAATGCAAAAAAAATTAGAGCCGCAAGCAGCGATGGGCGGGCCCTTGCACGTGTAGCACGTCAAGGTGTGAGGCGGCCGCGTTGCAGATTTTGGAGCTCTGCCAGTGTGGCTGTGAATCAGGTGGTGCTATGATTATGGGTGATTGTTTGCATGTACATGTGTTCAGGGTGGGACTCTTATCAAACATGTAAAATTTCGTACAGGTCTGAGCATGTACAGTCAAGTTACAACAACTTCCTGTGTCATGGCGAAGACTGTAACTTCGCCACCACGCCACCGTTTGGAATTGATATGGCCAACATGCTAGGAGTAGTCCATCATAGCGGGACTGTTATTATACATGTCAAATTTGGTACAGATATGAGCATGTACACTGAAGTTTTAAAAACTTCAGCCACAGGCACGCTCAAGGACAAAAACTCACTGTTTGCACAACTTTTAATCGTCAATGGGTTTAGAGTGCACAGTGAAAAATTGTATGTAAATCGCCTAAAATGACTATTAAATCCAAAATGGCCGACTTCCTGATCTGTGTCGAATACGAAGTTTGGTGAGTTTTCGAGTATGTTTAGGCTCCCTAAAAAAAATCCCTTCAGTTTCAATAGGGACCTCACACGATTCGTGCTCGGGCCCAAACAAGTGTTTGCTAATGCTATTGTGCTGCCCATTTCTTTATACCTGATCTGTATCTGGACGTCCTATCTGGATTTGAAAAACCACATGTTAATGCAGATGAAAACGCGGCAGAATGCATTGTGATCTGAATAAAATGGGATTGTCCTCATCTGGACATGGTCTTCAACTCATGCCTGACGTCATTCAGGTTTTTTCCCATCTTCCAATCTAATGAATGGAGAGACATTTGCTTGGACTGCAACAGTCTGTCCCCTGGACCAACTGGTAGGCTACTACCAGCAGTGTCTCCTCTTTCTGAGGGTCTCATGTGCCCACACAGATCTCCCTTTCCCTGTCTCCTGCGTGTTTGTACAGCTCACACACTTAAAACAATTCCAGAGCAGGTGCTCTCTGTTTGTCTAATTTTTTTAAAGCAGATATTTTTAGGAACAAAAGACACAGACCTGTTAGTTGTGATCAAGTTTCTGCTAATATGGCCGTTATTACTTAGCAGCAAACCAAAGACTACAGATCGCTGGCGCTATAATCTTTGATTAGACTGACAGGACAGCTGATTCATTAAAAAACGCAGCACTTTGCTCTTTTCTAAATTCAACCAAAAAAGGCATTGCTATGTGCCTAGCATTTTCGAACCTGCAAAGCGCTTTCTGTCTGATCAGGGCCTGATTCTTCTTTGTCGTTTTATAGCGGTTGGCATCACCGCCACCTGCTGGATTAAACAGTGCAAAATATTTACAGTGTCTATCTACCCAAAGTGATTCCATTCACAACTGTAGTCCCTCAAGTTATTTTTTCTCTATTTTTGTGTCTGTAGCAGCATTCTCGGACCAGGTCCCGAGCCCCAGGATAAGAACTACTGCTTTAACATGAAAGGTGCAGTTTGTTGACAAGTCAGCCAACCCCACCTAACTAATTTGCATGATGAGATCTAATCACAATGTGAGCAGAATAGAGACAATGCCTATTAATACCAGCTGTATATGCAAAGGCATGTTGATTGGATATCATAAGACAGATCACATGTTAATGCCAGGTGTAAATGGGGCCTTTATCGTCACCAAAAAGGCTGGAATGCTGGGGCTGCTATCATTGCTTCCTATTTCCATTTCCATTTCCATGAAATTTGTTTGAGGTTTCCTTATGCCCACCGTCAGAAAGCAGCTAAGAGGAAGAGTTTTATAAATTATAATTTTATGGCTTAAAGGAAATAAACATACATAATACTTAACGTGACCCACACCTGCACCCACATTTCCCCTTTAGAAGCCATAACTTCCTTAATTTGGGTGAAGGGGCCCTTCATTTCCACTGCTACTCTATGTGGGGCCCCTCCCCCAAAACCTTGGGGCAATGGCCACATTGTAGGTCTGAACTGTTGCTAAAGGTTACCTTTCCTGTCTCTGCAGCAAAGACACTGAGGGACGACTCCTTACCTCAGCTGCTGGCACACAGGAAGACAGAGCTGCAGGAGAGACGGATGACTTACAGGTCCAGCGCACATAACAACACATGCAGCTTCACTTTCCAGAGTAGTAGATGTGTTTCAGTTAGTTATGTATTAATATTTGTATCATATTGTGTCTTTCTGTCTTTTAGATGGGTGACCTGGGCTTCAGGCATTCCCAGATGTATTGACGCTAAAACAGAGGCAGATTTACCTCAAGACGCCCGCTTTGACAATGAGAAGAGGAGCGACTTTGAATATTCCTTAAAATATGCGTAGGTCGTGCACATCCGTGCACACACGCATGCAGATAAATAATTCTAATAAATAGTTCTGGCAGCCTTTGTTGACAAAAGCAGTGTCATAAAGATAGTTTAATACTATTTTTCTTTTTTAAACATAGTTGTTTTAGAATACATAGTGATGAGGTAATCTGTTTGTGGCTATGACAGATGTAATATGATGATGGTGAAACAAAGTCAACTTTGTACACCTAGGTTACATGTAAGCCTACAATTAACAGACTTGGTTGTTCTGTAATAGTAATTACAGAAAGCTAAAGTTATCAACATTCCCTAGTAGCGTTATTTCTAATATTAAGCCAACAGCAAGATCTGGCTCAGAAGCAACATGAAATTTTACGATATACGCCAGTTGTATTACAATTCAATTTTCAATTCAGTTTTATTTATATAGCACCAAATCACAACAACAGTTATCTCACAGCGCTTTTCATAACAGAGCAGGTCTAGACCATACTCTATGATGTTATTTACAGAAGCCCAACAGTTCCCACCAAGAGCAGCACTAGGAGACAGAGGCAAGGAAAAACTTCCTTTTAAGAGGCAGAAACCTCGAGCAGAACCATGGCTCAGGGTGGGCGGCCATCTGCCTCCACCGGTACTGTTACAGTAATGTCTATGAAATTTTTTTGATGTCCACCTTTTGTTCCCCAGATGAGAGTTTGTACAATGTACTGTATAATTATTATATCTGTAGCCCAACAACGTATCACATACACTCTTCCTCATCATCAGCTTGCTGGAGTTGTCTCTGAAGAAGATGGCCATCAGGTTTGGGAAGTCCTGGAATGACCTGGACGATTTCAAACGGATCTTCTGGAAGCTGCGAAGCCCCATTGCTGGTGGGTAAATATACACTACACACGGAAAATACCTCTGGGCAGTTTCATACTAACATTTCTAATACACAAGAGATATAAAGGACGGATCCTGACATAATCGGAAATAAATACAGAAATAAATTAATGCTCAATAAATAAATAAACATCCTATTAAATCCACAAAAAAAACAGTAAATAAATAAATGTAGGTAGTAATGAAATTATACAATGAGACATAAATCTATATATATCTTTTTTATTCATTCACCTTTGTATTAATTACCATATCTATTTATTGTCCTTTATTATCTTCAACTTTATTTATGAATTATTTATTATTTTTAAATGTATTTATTTATGTGTGTGTTAAAATGTTTGTCCATTTAGTCTTCCTTTGCATTTTCTACACTATTTATTTCCTCAATGGTATTTATTTCTGTCTCCTCCCTTTCCATTTCTCTATGCATTTCTGACTCATTATGCAAATGAGGGGGGGGGGGGGCTGTGTCTCAAGGGGTGAACTTCTCTCCTATTGGTGAATCAGTCAGACGACAGAGGTTAACTCTACAGGCACAAGAGATGGCTTCCCTCAGTAAACTGAAGTGTTTAGCAACATTACTACCAGCCATGTTTTCTCACTTTTTCGTGTGGACGCTCTGACAGACGGTGTTTTCAGTTTGCAGCATACATGGACACAGAACTGCGGTAAAGTGAGCTGTTGTTTGTGGGAAACACACAGTCAGCTAGCTGCTGCTAAATTTGGAGTGCACACGCATTCCACCCTTTATGGTAAATGCAGTTAAACGGAGCAGAGCGAGCTGACAGGCAGGGTCTAGTCTTAATTGTATGGGATACGAGCGCCACATTCAACATTATTTATCAAATTACATCGGACTTTGTGAATTTAGCTCAAAGATACACATCACAACGTCCAGTTTTCAAAATAATGTGCACAACGTATATACAGTATGATATTAAGATTATTTGGTTTATATTCAAACAAGTTTAATCATGTTGCATGTGTCCATTAAAAGTAAAAAACACTAAAATTTTAGGGAAATGACTTTATTCTCTAATTTTGGTTGCTGGAAAAACATAATATGTTATGGGGCAGCTGAGGGTCAGAAGTTAGAGCGGGTTTCCCGCAAATCGGAAGATCGTGGTTCAATCTCCCGGCATGTCGAAGAGTGGGCAAGATACTGAACCCCTAATTGTCTACGATGGATGTTAAATCGGTGGAGGAATGTGTGTGAATATTAGTTTCTGTTTGAGCACATGGCTCAGTGTATGAAAGTGTAAATGTGATGTTTTGTAAAAGCGCAAAGACTAGAAAGGCGCTATACAAATAAGATTTAAATCTATATGTAGTCAGGATAACTCTGACTAGGCCTACATATAGATTTAAAATTAAGATTGAAGTACTGCAGTTGTACATTGAAATACCTTGCTTTCTGATAGAAAGTCTTCTTGAAGCACTGTAAAAACAAATTTCTGATTTGAGTTGTGGACAGCTAGGACCACATAAATTAAAAAATGAAAAATTTACTGCCTAAGTCAGCTATAAGAAGGATTGTTCCTTAGGTTACATACTGTACAGTATTTGTGAACAGCTACATCCTGGAGTTCATTGTCAGTGTATACATTAATTGAACATTCCACAGTGATCATCAACAGATGGATTACCATTTATCAGTTCACCCTCAAAGACACCTTTGGCTGAAAAGGCAACTGCTTTAGCATTAATGACTAAACTGACTCTCAATCATCTGATTGAGCTGTCACATACAATTTCTTAGGTACAGCGAATCCAGAATAAAGAGCAGTGGCACTGGGGCTGATAATGTGCAATTAATACAATTATTTACAATACAACTGTTTGATTATGTCACTGCAGTACCATACCACAGTATTTTAGCAAAGATCCTTTGGTAACAGCACAGCAGACGGTGTAAAATAGGAATATTTGACACACACGATTAACATGATTAACATAATTAACGTAATTAAAACGCGTTATGTTTGGTCCTTAATCTAATCACGAATAACACGTTAATGCAGACAGCCCTAGTTATGTTATTTGTTGCTCTCCTTCTTCTTTTTGTCCTCTGACAAAGGTTGGCTGGTAGTATTGTCATCAAATAGAGTTGCTAAACTCCTCAGTTAACTGAAGGAAGCCATCTCCTGTGACTGTGTGAGGCGCAAGCTTGTTGATGTGTGCATGTAGAGTTGACCTCTGCTGTGTGACTGGTCAATCAATAGGCGAGAAGTTGACCCCTTGAGATGCAGCCCCTCCACATTTGCATAATGAGGCAGAAATGCATAGAGAAATGAAAAAGTGGAGACAAAAATATTTACCATTGGGGAAATAAATAGGGTAGAAAATGCAAAGGAAGAATTATTCAGACAAAAATATTAAAACACGCATAAATAAATACACTTAAAAAAGAAGTCATTCATAAATAAAGTTAAAGATTATAAAGGATAATAAATAATAAGGTAATTAATATAAAGGTGAATAAATGAAGAAGCTAATTAAAAGCGATATATACAGTTATGTTTTATTGTATAATAAACAGTATTTAATTAATGCCTACATTTATTTATTTACTTTTTGTGCATTTGACAGAATGTTTATTTATTTATTGAGCATTTATTTATTTCTGTATTTATTTCAGATTATTTCAGGATCCATCATAGAGAGATGTCACATGTTTAATATACTCTAATACAAAGTCCTTTTATGTACACATGGAAGATTTAAAATGTAAATAAAGCAAATCAAACAAAGAAAAAGTGAAATACAAAATCTTGATGTTTTCATTTAACGTGTCACACTTTAATTAAAAAACACATTTTAAAAGAACACTGCGGGGGGGGTTCTTGTCTAATAACTGAATGAATTATTTTCATTGTAACATTAATTTTCATGCCACATTAAAATAAAATCACAACATAGAAAATGCGTGTGTCATCCAGCAAACATCAGACCAACAACATCATCAGACCAACAACATCATCAGACCAACAACCAGACAACTGCTTTACCAACACAAACATCACCCAAGTTATACTAAGGTGCAGCTCCCTGACACCCAGTTAACTCATTAAAACCCAGGAGAACAACGCACGTGTGTACATTTTCAGCTGAGGACTGAGGCTTACTTTGGCTAGAGTTAAATGCTAAAGTTGCTGTTACTGTTACCTTTCTGCTGGCAGAACACCTGGTGCTTTCTGATCAGGTGCCGTCATGCTGTTGCGGAAGGCGACATAAGTTTCGTTTTACAGTGGATGGACTTTAACATTACAGAGTTGTTGTTTTGTTTTAGCTTGAAATACATAACAGTTTGGACACTTTCTTCTGCGTCCATCACTATTTTTCTCTCTTCCTCCACTTTGCAAACCGCTCCATCATAATCACGTCGTGTTCACACAGCGTAAGCGCGATGTGCGACAGTAAGCCTTGATGTAAAGAATTTGTGTCGATGCATTTTAGTAATTGATATAATCGATGAATTGTTTCAGCCCTAATAACAAGATGTTTTTATTTAGGCATTTTAAATTTTCCATAGCAAGAAGGTCTGTTCTGGTAAAACAAAATCTGCTTTGGTTAAAAGTGAATGCCTCAGTATGATTCAAAGGAAGTGATTGTCAGATTGTAAAACCAGTGTTGTGGAGGTGTGACATAGTTAAGTTCATAAAGTGAATAGAAACATTTTGCCAAAGTGAATGGGAACAAGATTGTTTGAGAGCCATCTCTGCAGTAAACGACTGACAGTGATCCCAAAGATGGTATCAATACTCTCATAAATATGAGTCACAAACATAGACATTTTGTCAAAGTCTCATGGGGAGCTCTTTTTCAGTGCTAACAAAATAGCTATTATCTGTGTTAACAATACAAGCTTCTAACACTTGACTATGAAGTACAGTAGTTTATACACATTTATCTTACAAAGACAGAATGGAGAGTTGATTACACAACCCCGTATGTGTGTGTTTGACTCAGAGTACTGTATGGAGCATTGGAAGGAGGACTGGTTCTTTGGCTACCAGTGTATAAATGGCTCTAACCCAAGGATGATCCAGAGGTGCAAGAAGCTGCCAGACAACTTCCCCGTCACACCAGACATGGTGCAGAGCTCCATTGCTCCCAGGACCAACCTGGACAAAGAACTCAAGGTGGAGTGATGTATGAACACTGTAAATGGTCTGTGTTTGTATTGGGCTTTTTTATTCTTTGAGACCACTCAAAGCATTTTACACTACGTGACATTCACCCATTGATTGCAGAGGCAAAGAATCACACAGAAAGGGAATAACATTCATACACACAGCCACCGGTGTGTGATTTGGGGTTCAGTGTTTTGCCCAAGGACACTTGACATGCAGACTGGGGGAGCCTGGGATCAAACCACCTCCAGTTAGTGGCCGACCGCTCTACCCCCTGAGCCACAGCCACTCCATCTGTCTATGATCTATTAATGCTTTAACGTGACAGAGATGGAGAAAAGAGCAGAATTGTTTAATTTATGTCTCAAAATTGTTCATTCATCTCATAGTCTCTGCTCCTTCCATGTCCACATTCATCTTAATTTTCTGCTTTCCTCCTGTCCAGGCAGGGAATATCTTCTTGTTAGACTACGCCATCATGGATGGGATTCCCACCAACACAATCAGGGGTAAACCTCAGTATGTCGCTGCTCCGCTCTGTCTCCTGTACCAACACCCAGATGATGGACTCATACCTATTGCTATACAGGTATATTCACATCCATTAAGCCTATAGACCTGTACTGAAATACTAAATTAACTCAACATGTCACTGATGTCCACGAGCAGATTATTTTTAATGAAGCGTGATTAGTACCGGTAAAGAAATCTTGTTGTTGCAGCACCAAATAGTAACATCAAGTAACAAAGTCTAGGACTTTCGTTACTAGGGAAATATTGGGGAAAAGGTGCTAAATATAATTTTTAGAAATATTGTAAAAATCTGAGAATAGTGAAAACATTTTATAAATATTTCTCAAATATGAAATCTGAGAGTATAAATCAGAGAACATTTAATACAAATCTGAGAGTATGGAACGTAAACCTGAGAACCCTAAAAATTATAAAAATAAAAAATAAAAATATTTAATGACTTGATTTAATAAGCATGTGAATGTAAACCTACTAAAGACAGTATTGACTGGATGCTGAGAATTTTGAATGAACATCAAAGAAAGGCTGCAGCGCTGTCGTTTGTTTGTTTTTTCCAAATGCAAGGTTGCAGGTACTACAATACAGTGGAAACTGGTGACCAATTTCTGAACTTCATATGTCTGTGAGGTTTCTAGATATGTGAATTCAAGTTCCATTTTAGGTAGTGGAATAGGACTGTTTGTATTAGTTTTCCCTCCTTGTCCTTAGCTAGAGCAGACTCCAGGCCCGGACACACCCATATTCCTGCCCAAAGACCCGCCCCTGGCCTGGCTACTGGCTAAGATGTGGGTGCGTACCTCTGAGTTCCAGGTGTTCCAGCTGCTGTCTCACCTGCTCAGGACTCACCTGGTGATAGAGGTGTTTTGTGTGGCTACTCTGAGACAGCTGCCTGCTGTGCATCCTATATATAAGGTAAAATCAACACAAGTCATATTAGTCAGAACTGTCTTAACTTTCAGTTAGAAGATTGAACCCATATCTGCATACTGGGGACAAAGTAGAGTAGACATTTGTTGTAAGTTTACAGTATTTGGTAAATGTAAAACTACCATACACATTCTGAAACAGTGGCTGGGGCCTTCAAATGCAGAGAGAACCAGACCTATACTGTGAAACACGCTTATATTAGAGACAGGACAACATTTTTAATTCCTCTTCTGTGCTTTCAGTATAATCTACATTTCCACAGCAGTCATGTCATTCTCACCACTCTGCTAGAAACAATTTCTTTTTTAAACACAAACATTGTTGCTTTTCATTGATTATTTCCAGTCTCTTTCATTAATTTTTTGATTGCTGTTAAGTTACTATCAATACGCACACTGCACAGATGTTTCATATTAAAATACTTCCAGTGGCTCAACTGACACAGTCCCTCCCTTTACTGGCAGGCTTTAAATTTGAAATATGAACAGAAAGTTACATCCTGTGAAAAGCGAGTTTGTTGCAGGAAAACAATGGTGGAAACACAAGATTGTTGTGCTCTGATGATGTTTTTGCAACCAGGGAACTTAGTCTAGCTGCGTTTCTACCTGTCATAGGGCTATCATGCCTTCATTTAAGCCCGTGGTAGAATCGGTATTAGCATGTGAAGCTAATCTTAGCACGAGTTTACGAGCTTTGCTTAAGTTTTTCAGCCAGGTAGGAATCCCCAGAGAAGTTCTTACTGATCAAGGTTCAAATTTCATGAGCTGTAAACTTTCTCAAGTCTATTACCTGTTAGGTATAAAGAGAGTGAGAACCACCCCTTACCACCCTCAGACCGATGGACTGGTTGAGCGATTCAAAAAAAATTTGGTTGGTATGCTTAAAAAGTTTGTTTCAGAGACAGGAAAGGACTTGGGCTATGAACATTCTCTGAGATAGAACCTTCTGTCAGTGAATGGAGCAGCCCGATAATTCTGGTGCCAAAGAAAGAACAACACTAAGATTCTGTTAGGACTTCAGAAAAGTCAGTGGTGTGAGTAGGTTGGACCTGTACCCCATGCCCAGGGTTGACGATCTCATTGAGAGACTAGGCAGTGCCAACTTCATCAGTACACTGGACCTATGTAAGGGGATCTCACATCCCACTCACCAAAGAAAGCAAGGAGGTGACAGAATTCAAAACCCCTTTTGGATACTTCCACTTTACAGTGCTCCACTTTGGCCTGCATGGGGCCCCTGCAACATTTCAGAAGATAATGGACAGGTTGCTGAAGGGCACAGAGTCCTATGATGCGGTCTACTTAGATGATGTGGTGGTCTATAGTTCCAGCTGGGAGGATCACCTGTCTCATCTGAAGGAAGTGCTAGGGAGAATCAGCAATGCAGGCCTGACCATCTACCCGGACAAATGTGCACTTGCCAAGCAAGAATCATAATATCTGGATTATGTGCTGGGCAAGGGAGTGATCAGACCTCAACTTGGAAAGGCACTGTAGATGCCATATTGTCAGCCAAAAGGTCTAGAACTAAATTGCAAGTCAAGTCATTTCTGGACATGTTGAGTTGTATAGGCGTTTCATCCCAGGATTCTCTACCTTCTCAGTTCCTCTTACCAACCTGACAAGAAAGAACCAGCCCAAAAAGGTGCAATGGACAGAGGGGCGTGAGGAGGCGTTTCAGGCTCTGAAGCGTGCTCTGTGTAAGGAACCTGTACTGAAGAGTTCCGATTTCCAGCAGCCACTCATTCTCCAGACGGATGCATCTGAACTTGGAGTCGAGCCTCTTTGTTTCAGGGGGAACCAGGTAATCTTCAGCCTGCGTTGTACTTCAGCAGGAAACTCAACAAACATGAAGGAAGGTACTCAGTTGTAGAGAAAGAACGCCTTGCTAAGTGGGCGTTGCTGCTGGGATGGAAATTCATTCTGGAGATAGACCACATCGCTCCAGAATGTGAGGGACACCAATTCCAGGATAACACGGTGGTTTCTTGGCATGCAGCCTTTTGACTTTGAGGTTCTCTACAGAAAAGGGAGAGAGAACTGCACAGCTAGGACGCCACAGGGGTCATCTCCAGAGGGAGGTGGAAATGTCATAGGGCTACCCCATGCCTTCATTTAGGCCAATGATAGCATTGGTATTAGCAAGCAAAGCTAAATGTAGCATGAGCATTATCATCAGAATCAGAATCAGAATCCGCTTTATTACCAGGTATGTGTACACATACGAGGAATTCGACTCAGGGTTATACATTGCTCACGACGTGCTTACTTATACAAAAATACCATAATACAAGAATAAAATAATAATAAAATAAAATCAGACACAAACTACAGTATAGACAACACTAACATACACACTATGAACAAAACAATATAGACATATTGACAAATAGTGCAGTAATCAGAGTGCAAAGGATGCAAGAGTAAACTATTCTCATTATGTACATGTTAAAGGTGGATATGATATACAGGTACACATGCACATACATGTACACATGTACACAGTGTGATGGAGCATAGTGCAAAGGATGCTGGAAAAAATAAATAAGACCTATGACCTTATGACCTGAGGTAGGTGTATTGGTATACAGTATATACAATATGACATAGTATGAACAGCACTGAAATAGAGAAGGTGAATAAATAAATAATAAGTGGAAACCAGTAAACAGGTGCTGATTAGAGGCAGAGTTACTGGGTTATTGCACAGGAAATGTTCCTGACACCGTGAGTCAGAAATCAGCTGTTCATCAGAGTGATGGCTTGTGGGAAGAAACTGCTTCTGTGTCTGTTGGTTTTGGCGTACAGTGCTCTGTCCTACCAGAGGGGAGAAGTTGGAACAGGTTGTGTCCGGGGTGAGATGGATCTGCAGTGATGTTTCCTGCCCGTTTCCTCACTCTGGAAATGTATAAGTCCTGAATGGAGGGCAGGTTGGCACCGATGACCTTTTCTGCAGTCCTGACTGTCCGTTGTAGTCTGTTCCTGTCCTTTTTGGTGGCAGATCCAAAACAGACAGTGATTGAGGTGCAGAGGACAGACTGGATGATGGCTGTGTAGAACTGGATCAACAGCTCCTTAGGCAGGTTGAGCTTCCTGAGCTGACGCAGGAAGTCCATCCTCTGCTGAGCCTTCTTGATGATGGTGTCAGTGTTGGGGTCCCATTTCAGGTCCTGCTATATAGTGGAACCCAGAAACCTAAAGGATTCCACAGCAGACACAGGGCCGTTGAGTATGGTGATGGGGGGCAGAGTAGGGGGGCTCCTCCTGAAGTCCACGGTCATCTCCACAGTTTTGAGCGTGTTAAGCTCCAGGTTGTTCTGATCGCACCAGAGAGCCAGCTGTTCAACCTCCCGTCTGAAGGCCGACTCGTCAGCGTCCCGGATGAGGCCGATGACCATTGCGTCGTCAGCAAACTTCAGGAGTTTGACAGATGGGTGTCTTGAGGTGCAGTCGTTGGTTTAGAGGGAGAAGAGCAGGGGGGAGAGCACACATCCCTGGGGGGCGCCAGTGCTGATAGTCCGGGTGCTGGATGTGATGTTCCCCAGTCTCACCTGCTGACTCCTGTCAGTCAGGAAGTCTGTGATCCACTGACAGGTGGAGGCTGGCACAGTGTGCTGGGTGAGTTTGGTGCTGAGGATGTCCGGGATGATGGTGTTGAATGCCGAGCTGAAGTCCACAAACAGGATCCTTGCATATGTCCCTGGAGAGTCGAGGTGTTGCAGGATGTAATACAGTCCCAAGTTGACAGCATCATCCACTGACCTGTTAGCCCTGTAGGCAAACTGCAGGGGGTCCAGCAAGGGGCCTGTAATGTCCTTCAGGTGGGCCAACACCAGTATTTCAAAGGACTTCATGACTACAGATGTCAGGGCGACAGGTCTGTAGTCATTCAGTCCAGAGATGGAGGGTTTTTTGGGGACTGGGATGATTGTGGAGCGTTTGAAGCAGGAGGGAACTTCACACAGCTCCAGTGATTTGTTGAAGATCTGAGTGAAGATGGGGGCCAGCTGGTCCGCACAGATTTTCAGGCACGATGGTGAGACACCGTCAGGTCCAGGAGCCTTCCTGATCTTCTGCCTCTGGAAGAGGTGGCTCACGTCCTCTTCACAGATCTTGAGTGCAGGTGAGAGGTCAGAGGGGGAAGGTGACTGTTTGAAGATGGCGTTGGAGTGGGGGAGAGGTGTGACTGTGGGCTTTGGGGGATGGTCTCTTGTAGTTTGTGAGTGTCCGTAGGCTTCTCCACACTGAGGCAGGGTCGTTGGCTGCAAAGCTATTATTTATTATTATTCTTTTCAGCATAGCACCTCTTTGCAGCTTTGACCTCTTTAGTCATAGTGTTCCTGGCCTGGTTGTACAAGACTCTGTTCCCACTTCTGAAGGCCTCCTCCTTGGTCTGACGAAGCTGCCTGAGTTTTGCTGTGAACGAGGGTTTTTGGTTGTTGTATGTGGAAGGTTTTAGTCGGCACACACATGTCCTCACAAAAACTGATGTAAGATGTCACAGTGTCAGTTAGTTCATCCAGGTCAGTGGCTGCAGCCTCAGAAACACTCCAGTCAGTGCAGTCAAAGCAGGCCTGTAACTCCAGCTTTGACTCGTTGGTCCATCTTTTCACAGACTTTACAACAGGTTTTGTAGATTTCAGTTTTTGCCTGTGTGTCGGGATAAGATGAACCAGACAGTGATCAGAGAGTCCCAAAGCTGCACGGGGAACATAGTGATAGGCGTCCTTTAATGTTGTGTAGCAGTGGTCCAGTGTGTTATTGTCCCTGGTGGGACACTTAATATGCTGTCTTTACTTTGGAAGTTGATGGCTGAGGTTTGCTCTGTTAAAGTCCCCAGAACTATGAGCAGGGAGTCTGGATGTTTTTTCTCCACGTTAGTTATCTGGTCGGCTAAGTGTAGTAACGTCTCACTAACACAGGCCTGAGGTGGAATGTAAACGGCAACCAGAACAAACTCGGTGGTGCGGTGAATAAAACGGTTTACAGTTTATAAATAATGTTTCTAGGTGAGGCTTGCATGATTTCTTCAACACTGTGACATCTGTGCACCAACCTTCATTTATATAGTAACAGAGTCCGCCTCCCCTTGTTTTTCTCGTGAGCTCCCTTTTGCGATCCGCGCAGATGAGATTAAATCCCGGTAGGTGAAGTGCGCTGTCCGGGATGCGCTTGGTGAGCCAGGATTCGGTGAAACAGAGGGCAGCAGATCTGCAGAAGTCCGAGTTGGTTCTGTTGAGGAGCAGCAGTTCATCCATTTTGTTGGCAAGAGAGCGGACATTCACCAGGTGAATTCAAGGGAGCACAGTGTGAAATCCCCGCTGTCTCAGCTTAACCAGTGCGCCTGCACGTTTTCCCCTGTGACGTTTCCGAAGGATCCCAAACAGAGCTGCCGCTCCTCCAACTAGTAACTCCGGGAAAGTTCCAGGTTCATTAAGGAGCGGTGGAATAGTATGTGCAGTTGAAAGTCCAATGTTTAAGAGCTCTTCTCTGGTAAAAGTTACCAGAGAGGGACGGCAGAAAACAGCGTTGATTAACAAAAACACAAAAAGCACTACAGAGCGTAATCCCGAGGTGGCCGTCTGCGGCGCCATCTTGGTTATAATCATATAATCATAGGCCTGTTAGCCATTAAATTGATCGAAGGATTACTGTTAGCATTAGCATAACCATTAGAATTTTTCTGTTTTGAGAAGCTTTGTTCAGCATGCAACATTTAATTTCTGGCTTTAAAGTTGTTATATTATTATATTGATGTGGCCAGAAATGTTGAGTTAGCATAATGGTTAATAATTAATTTTGGTTTGTCTTGAAGGATTGGTTTCCAGTATGAAGGAAGGAGGCTGAGGGTCCTCTGGGCAGAACAGTGTTGGCCTGGAAGGGCGCATATGCTAGAGCCCAATATTCAGGGCCCCATAGTTTTTTCTGTTGTTTAATGTTAGTTCATGATGTTCATGTGACTGGTGAAGAAATAAATTGAAGAATTCCCGAGTCCACGTCTCCTCCTTCCACCATGGGGCTAAACATTGCACTAACTTACCACAATAACCACTTATAAACCAAAAACCTCACTACTGCACATGTTTCGATCATGAATCTGATATGTACGAACCTCAGCCTCACGGCCAGCGAGCCACTAACATTACAGCTTTATGGTCAGAGCAAGCTAGCTGCTGGGTGCCAACCAAAGTCACATAACGTTGCCAAGCAAATAAATTCCTGCAGTTTGATCATGTCTTTTTCACACGTAGCTATATCGTTAACATCAGGGTTTCTATCAACTATTTTTACATAAAGCAGCAATAACACACACACACACACACACACACACACACACACACACACACACACACCTGCAAGGATGACTTCCTTATAACAAAACTAGCACTGCAGTATGAAGTTCCACAAAAACCAACTTGAAGAAACAAACATAGCCACAACAACATGCTAACCTCAAGTTCAACAGGCTAATTTTGAAGATTTTTATTTAACCATAAAGTTTGAACATTTTATATGCCTAGCTGGATTAAGATAATGTTTCATATGTTTATTAGAATGTTTAAGGTCTTTATTAAAAGACACACTGAACTTTGGGATGCAGTTTTCTCACTCAGCCTTGTTGCGGCCTTCACATTTAAGGAAGACCAAGACTTCACAAGAACACAACACACCTCACATTGTACAAGACACACACACCCAGCCAGTCAAGCATTGTTACTAATTGGCCAGGGGGGGAAGTTAAGGTGAACACCATGATTCAAAATTAATTAGACATCCGAACGAGAGACAGTGGGGCCTTGTTTGATTCTCACATAATGTTGATTGCACCTGGGCCCAGGCTAGATTAGAGTAAACTAAGAATTATAACATAGGAGGCCCTGGTAAGGAGGGCCTGATAACAGAAGAAGACTAGATTCATGAGTAAAAAGACCACAGTTCATCTAAGTCTAAGTTACAGTTACATCCAAGTATAGAGTAAAGTGTAAAAGTGTGGGCCTTTGGCAAGGTCTGAGCGTTTTTCCTCCCACACAAAATAAACACTAAAACAAGGTGTGGTGGGTGTAGATGAAGACTTTTGTGTTGGTTCTTGCAGCCAACAACAGACAAATTGGCATGCTTTGCTTGTACCTTCCACATCTTTGTGTAACAAGGGCAGACAGTGAGGTAGATTTGCTCGGTTGCAGTGGTCACCTAGCTGGAGGTGGTGCTGTGTTACATAGTGACATAGATAATAACGTAAGAAAAAGGCTGAACTACAAAAAACGCGTTTCAGGCAGTTCACAAGCAGTGTGTTCTGCAGGAGAGAATACTTTGGCGTGGACTGCTGTGCCATTATTTGAGAACCTGGCTTTTAATTAAGAATGTATGGTATTTTGGTTTGATGGTAGATTGACAAGCTTTAGGTAACACAGTTACGTTGTACCCATAGGTTGTACCCTGAACAGTTTTCTATGTCATCCTACTGCAGCTCCTGGCCCCTCATCTGCGCTACACTCTAGAGATCAACTGTAGGGGGCGCACTCAGCTCATCTCTGCTGATGGCATCTTCAAGAGGGTGTGTCAGTCTGAAACAGTACATTTGATTGAGAGTTTGAAATGTTTTGAAGTTATTAGAAGTGGGTTTGATATATTTTGAAAGATACTGTTAATGTCACTAGGCCCTCCAACATATCACAGTCACAATATTAATCTTAACAAACATGATGATGATAATCATGATCGTGCCCATCATCGTGTTGATGGACGCGTGTGTGTAGGTTGTGTCTACAGGTGGCGATGGTTTGTTGATTCTGGCTCAGAGAGAGTACAAGGTGCTGACCTACCGCTCTCTGCACCCCTGCTACGACTTCACCGACAGAGGAGTTTCCCAGCTTCCAAACTATTTCTACAGAGAACACAGTCTGATGCTGTGGGAGGCCATACACAGGTATATAATCTAGATAATATCGGAATAATAATCCTACCTCCTTCTTTCAGGCTCACACACGTTTATGTGCATTGAGTGCATGGGTGGAGTGCACACAGGTAGTCAGGTAGGCCTTCCAGCGACAGACATTTTTCATGTTTGATTTATTGATTGCTGTTGGGATTTAAACAGAATTTCAACAAAAATATTTTATCACATTAAAATGGGTTACAGTGCAACATCTAGCATATCTCACAGTGCTCAGCATCCACACTGGATACTTCTCTATGGACTAGTAAACTAGTAGGGGATAGAATGCCTCTAAAAAAGTGAATACAACACACAGCTGCCTTTCTGTTTCTCTGTTTGGATCTGACCAATAATTTGTGAAACATTTCAGTGAAAAGAGAACAACCCCAAAGAACACCATTTAAAGTACCTGCACAGCAGATCTAAACCTTTTCCATTTTCAGAGGGGTCATATTGATTCCATAATTATATGCTTGGATATAAATTGCTATGGCACTGAAAAAGGTACAAAGGCCAGCTGTATTTCTGCCTCCTATGAGTCATAACTTGAACTGTACTCTTCCTTCAGTTTTGTCTCAGGTATGGTAAGCCTGTACTACCAGTCAGACCATGATGTGCACCAGGACCTAGAGCTCCAAGCCTGGATCAGAGACATAACACAGGAAGGCTTCACAGAGCTCCCAAACTTTGGTCAGTTATTAATATCCTGCATTTTTATCCTTAAAGCTGGGGTGTGTGATGCCGGAGAATGAGTAAGAGACAGCTACATTTTAAAAGTAATAAAACCAAAAAAACCTTCCCCCTCCCTCTAAGGCCACTCCCCAAAACACAATTTTATGCGCAGTGAGTGTACGGGGAGAGTGAGCACAGGCAGGTAGACAGGCAGGTAGGCTGTACTTATTACAGTCTTGTGACAGCCACAGCTACTGGATTTTTTTCATTTGTCATATGTCAGAATCGTTGATTTATTAATTGCCCGACCCAGCTTTTATAGTTAACATACAGGTTAAAAAGCCCATGTCCAGGGCATTTTTATAAAGATATTTAAATTATAGTTGGGGGGATCTGATTATATCTTTTCATGTGACAACACTGACGTAATGACACTTTGCTACGATGTAAAGTAGTGACTGTACAGCTTGTATAACAGTGTAAATTTGCTGCAGGCAAGACACACTTGTCTTTGTACTACTCACCTGGTTACCGCCATACACACTTGACACCATCTGAACCAAATAAGTTTATCTCACCAAATTTAACACATGGACATTTTCACTTAGGGGTGTCCTCACTTTTATGAAAAGCGCTCACAGATAACTGTTGTTGTGATTTGGCGCTATATAAATAAAATTGAATTGAATTGAACTTTTGTTGCCAGCAGTTTAGACATTAATGGCTGTGTGATGTGTTATTTTGAGGGGACAGCAAATTTACACTGTTGTAAGCTGTACACTCACTATTTTACATTGTAGCAAAGTGTCAAATTTCTTCAGTGTTGTCACATGAAAAGATATAATCAAATATTTACAAAAATATAAGAGGTGTACTCACTTTTGTGAGATACTGTATATGATCATTAGGTCAGTTGTCATTGGTAATTGCATCGGCGCAAAATGCACTGAGTAAGTCTTGCAGATCAAAATATTTCGCATTTGTTAGCTATTGAATCATATTTCTCTCAAATGCAATTATACACATTACTTGTGTAAATCCCTACATGCTAAATAGAGCGACCAACAATCACAATAACCTGTCACACATAGATACATAATAGTTATGTGGTATTGTTGTAAAACTTTTCAGATGGGTAGACTTGGATGGATGGGGATTCAATTTCCTTACAATTTAGAGCAACCAAACACAACTGCTGTCCAATATAGGACAGGTAAAACAGGTAAACCAATCAGTTCTCAAACATATTTAAAACGATTGAGGGTAAGACTCAATGTTAAAGTTGTGGAATATGGAGCATGCAGGAGACAGACAGGAGCAAGAGTCTGCCCATGCAAGAGAAAGGGGCATTAGAGTGCAAGGTGGTATGGTGAGGGGGAGAGGAAGAGGGAGAGGGGGCACAGAGGACGAGGAAGAGCCAGAAAAAAGGCATAAGACAAAGAAATCTCAAATGAGATACGGGCAATAGTTATAGATCATGTAACCAACCATGACAAGTATGACAGAGGCTGGTCGGAGAGTGCAGCCTAATCTGGGCCGGTCCACAGTGTCGTCAAATAAATGCTCTGTGTGTTTTGGGTCCCATGACTGACATCAGTACTATTCAGCTGCCCAGAAATCCAATGTTAGATATTTGTCAATATTACATAGTGGGTCTTTTTGTTTTGACTCTCTTGGTCCAAGCAATGATAAATGAAGCCTTTGTTTTGATAAAAAAAATTATATATTAATTGTGCATGTAATAATTGAGGGTGAATGTATGTACAGGTCTGCACAGTAAGCTCACCACCAGAGAGGAACTGTCCACCCTGCTGTCAGTGGCCATCTTCACCAGCACAGCTCAGCATGCTGCTACTAATAACGGCCAGGTGCTCAACTCTGTCACACTGTCAAAGAAGCTCTCAGATGACCTGGTGAACTGTTGAAGGGGCTTTACCTTATTCTGTCCCTGTTCATGTTTTTACAGTTTGACTGGTGTGCCTGGGTCCCCAACACCCCCTGCACCATGAGACACCCCCCACCAACAAACAAGGATGAAGTTACCATGGAGATGGTCATGGCCACTCTTCCTGATGTCAGCCAGTCCTGTGTGCAGATGGCTATCACATGGCATCTGGGGAGACCACAACCAGATGCAGTGAGTCAGTCTTTGTCTAGTTTTTAATGGTAATAGATTTTACATGAAGTGAGGACTCCAAATAAAAATTTTAATAAACTGACAATGCTTATATGGGCTGAGTCAGCCAAATTCACTGACAGGAAAGTGCAGCAGATGTGAAATCAGTCTTCTAGTGTCAAACTCTGCACATATATAATTCTGAACAGTGACGGTCAAACATCTAAGTGAAGTAAGAATAAGCACTTTTGGTTCACTTTTATATCAACAAGAAATACATGCTGCTAAAAGCAAACCGACGGTAACTGCTGAGAATGCAGTAGCTGTGTGTTCTCCTGTATTCTGCCTACTCTTATCTGAAGGGCCTCTGGATGCAAACCACAAACACAAAGTTCCATTAATATGACCTTAACCTGATACACTGACTGATATAAGATAGAAATAAAATAAACTCACAATTGAGTTTATGATTTTTAAAGACAAATAGGGATAAAGGCATGAGGTACAATATCAGTGAGAAATATCATAGGAATATTTTTTTTAAAGAAACCAAGTATGGTAAGTATGGTAAACTCACTGAACCCTATCAAAAAAAAAACTATTTTAAAGGAGTGTTCTAAACAAGATGGCATAACACATAAATGTTACAAACCATACAAAACATACTTAGAATGAATCTGACAAACTAAATGTCTCTCTGGAGCCTGGCAGAGCTCAGAGGTGATAGTGCTGTTGAACTGTCAGGAGTTTCACGTATCAGTAGCTGAGATGGCTAGTAGAGGGACTACACCCAATATACCTACTTATCGTGTTATAAGAGTTGAGTTTTGGGTAGAGTAATAAGAAAATAACATGAAACTGTCTTGTTAAAACACGAACAGTTTCTCGTAATAACAAACTATTGGATTAGAAGTAAGTAGTTAAGTATTCACAAACAAATGTCAAGATACGTGACTTGTAAAACACAATGCACAAGATTTGTGCCTCTTATTTAGAAATTGTATATTTTCCATTTTCAGTGGAAATATATTTGTGTAGGGTGGCGCGGTGGTGCAGTGGTTAGCACTGTTGCCTCACAGCAAGAAGGTTGTGGGTTCAAACCACGGTTGCCCCGGCCTTTCTGTGTAGAGTTTGCATGTTCTCCCCGTGTCCCAATGGGTTCTCTCCGGCTTCCTCCCACCATCTAAAGACATGCAGGCTAGGTTCATTGGTATCTCTAAAATTGTCTGTGGGTGCGAGTGGTTATTTGTCTATTCAATTTTATTTATATAGCGCCAAATCACAACAACAGTTATCTCACAGCGCTTTTCATAAAAGAGCAGGTCTAGACCGTACTCTGTGATGATCTATGTGTGGCCCTGCGATGGACTGGTGAATGTAAGCCAAGAGTGTGTAACATTGTCACTGATTCTGCACCACAGTCCATTATAAACCACATAATAGAAAAAGTTTTTGCAGCAGTGCTTTATTTTGAGTTGAATTTAGAGCTTTTACTTTGAAATTACATGACATTAGCCTGTAGCCTGCTTTACACACCTCTGAAATAGCCATCAGAAAACGTGATTCCTCTAAATTTCTTCTGTCTGGAGATAATGAAAATAAGCATCTGTAGGTTGATGGATTAGGATCAATCGGCGGAACGCACATGCTGCAGCACATGCTTTTTTGTGAGCATGTGAAACAGTCGCTATAATCAATATGTGGAAGAAAGATTTCTCCTGACATGGGATCAAAGTCATAACCTTCATGGTGAGTCTTGCGCTTTACAGATTGAGCGAACCGAACACCGTAACACTCAAATACAAATATATCTTCTGCTACATGCGCACTCCCGAGCCTCTCTCTGACTAGCGCGACAAAACTACAGCTAACGAAATGCAGTCCACTAACACCGCAAAACAACCAGCTCCTAGCACAACACAGACTCCAACACAAAATCCACATAAGGACACAAAACAACACTGTTTGCTTCATAACATTCAATTTAGATTTATTGTGGTTTTGCCGAAATTCAGGTACACGGCCTCTCCACCACTTACTGCGATCTAACTGTCCAGCTCACTAACTGTTTCATTATCATCCAATACATTTAGCTGTGCTCATATAGCTGAGCCTCTGGTGAATGACACACAAATAGTAAAGTTGACCATGGGATTACTGTGTTTGATCGGCCAGCAAACCCGCCTGACCTGAACAAGAGAAAGATGAAAGACATGAGAGCGAACAATGCAGAAGAGCTGAAGGCCGCTATTGAAGCATCCTGGTCTTCCATAACAGCTCAGCAGTGCCACAGGCTGATAGCATCCATGCCAGGCCGCACTGAGGCAGTAATTCATGCAAAAGGGGCCCAAACCAAGTACTGCGTACATATGCATGATTATACTTCTCAGAGGGCTGCATTCATAATTCCATTTATATATCCATACATAATTTCCACTGTAATTCCATTTTAGGACATTTACATAATGTGTTGTTTCATTGAAAATATTTTACAAAAACATTTCCGTTTTCTCATTGTTGGTCTGAGCCTGATCTGACTATGATCATGTTACACCACCCACATTGGTTCCTCTTTCTTCAGCAACTTCCTGTTTTCTTCTGCCTAGATTCCTTTGGGTCAGTACACAGAGGAGTACTTCACAGAGGAGCTGGCCCAGGAGTTGATTGAGAGGTTCAGAACAGAGCTGAAAGAGATTGAGAGCTACATCCTGACTCAGAATGAAGGACTGGAGCTCAAGTACCTTTACCTCCTGCCCAGCCGCATAGAAAACAGCATCACTATATAGAAAGACTAACAGAATAGTACATGCAGGATTCACTCTGTATGGTGCATACCTGACACCTCTGAGATTTGCCTTCCCTTTTACGTTAAATACTACTGTTAACCATGTAATCCATGTTATCCTGTTGATTCAATGCAAAGAACACAAGAAAGGCCAAGTGAGGGAAAATATTTTATTTGTATTAAATGCTCTGCAAGCCATTGATTAGACAATTCATGATTTGTATGACATGATTTTATTGACCAGGCAAAGTGTCTGTGTTGATTGAAGGGGTGTAAATGGAATATCCACAAAGCTGTTTGGTAGCGTCACAGCCACATCCACAGCATGGCCAGTGTCCAATGAATAAGGGTGGACATTCAGATTCAGATTCACTCTTTATTGTCCTCAGTGGAGGAAATTTGTTTTCAGTCTGTACAAAGAGCACCTTCAACATGAATTCTACACACAAACTACATATATATAATATGTTGGATTTATGTTGGGTAAAGTGTGTGTGCATTGCAACCAATTTGTTTTTTTAATGGTTTCAATGTCAGCCAAGCATTAGCTGCCTGCCACATCATAACTGAAGCTTGAAATATACTTTTGAGTGAAATGCTGTGGAAATAGAAGTGCTTCAGTATCTGAAAGCGTGACAGGCGGTCAACTGGAAGGGGTCAAAGGTCGTCAACCAGGAGTCAGTGGACAGCAGAAGAAAGATCAAAGAGGACATTAATACCTGAAGGCAGAACCCATCTTTAAAAAGAGACCACCTGTTACTATGTGACTGAAGGTCCATTAAAACTGAGCACCCTCCATCCACTGATGGTGACTGAGATGTGGCTAAAAGCTAGTACATTCGTTGAGTGAAGGTCATTCTGTCAAACTATACTTGGATTGGTTCTTTCTGTCAGTGTACTCTTTGTATTATATTATATAGCATTTTTTTTCATGTATTTAACACTTTCTTGAGAAACTTAAATTCTAATTACAGCAACAGACCTTGATGTTGTGTTAAAAAGCTCAAAGTCTTAGTCATGATCCACTAAACTGCACATTTGCAGGATTGAAATTAAGATAAACATAATACCGCTTAAACTTGTGTTATAATAAACAATATAATCAAGCCAACTCGGTTATCCATGTTCTTTTTAATGCTTGAAATGCTTATAGTAACAGCGGGCCCTTGGATCCCACAGGTACAAAACTAGAGACTGTGGCTTGAGTGAACCATCAGGTAACATTGCCAGACAGATCACTGTTTTCCATCGTGTTCAGTGTGTTCACTGAGTGTAAGATGATGATTCTGATGGGCTGACACTTTGGACAGAATGACTGATCCGCGTTGGTCATCCAGTGGACATTAGAATAAAAACTAAATTCAGAATATGAGAGCTGTGAGGCACTGTACCGACAGATAAGCCAAACTCCATCTAATGACTGACATTCCAAGCAGGTGGATACTGGCAATAATCAGAAATATGTTCTATTGTACAGTGAAGCAGGTATGGAAGATCAGGTCCAGACAAAATAATTTACCACCTTTAAATGTTTTAACAACTATTATAACACAACTATTTGAGTTCCAGTGGGTAGATTTTACTACCATAATCAAATAATTTCAGCACTTGTGATTAGAGGTAGAATTAATTTCATCCTAAATACATAAAGGTGCAGAACATAGATCTGCTTGCACAGAAATTTAAACCCTGAGACAGAAGTGAGTGATCAGAGAACAGGTCCACACACAGCCTCCTGCTGTCAGGGTGCTGCTGGGAGCTCCTCAGTGCACCAGGTACTCCTAAAGAACAAGGTCGACAACATCATATGAGAACACATTAAAATACTGTAGCAAGCAGTATATTAATCCAGCTATTTGTGTTAACAAGCAATTGAACAGGTGTACCTAATAAAGTGAGTGTATATACATATATACCTCGTATATGCAAGCCTACGTATATCCCCGTATACATGTGTCTCCATTGAAGCCTACATGCCTAAATTGCATTATTTCTACTTATTTATTTTTATTTATTTATTTTTAAGTGGTTGTAGGTTTTGACTTCTAGTTAATTTGGATAGTAGTTTGCTTCCAGATAATGCCCATTGGTAATATTAATTTTAACAATTATTTAGTCAGGACAGGGTAATGTTGTAAATCTGAGTTTAATCTGTTGCCAACTTACATGAGAAGTTGCATCTATGGAGTTTGACATTTGTTCTAAGCTTAATAATGTTTCAAAAGTTTGAAACCACGATTTCTCGTTTATATTGTTAACTATCTTCCAATTACTTGCTATATATTTTAACTCTTTGTGCACTCATAAATCCAACCGACATTATCTTTTTTAAAATTCTTCCAGTTTTTATCATCCATATAGTTTCAAATGCATAGTTTAAGATCAGGTTGAATGTTTTCTTTAGTGAACAGTGAAAACACTATTTTCTTCCAAATTATTTGAACTTTTGGACATTTCCATATCATGTGAAAGAATAAGCCTTTTCTTTAATACAGTGCTAACACTTTTCGTCATTATATAATCTATAAAATTGATATAGGCCAGTTTGATAACAGGGAATACGGTACTGAGGTGATTAACAGCGGCTCTAACCAGGACTCAGACTCCGGGGACGACAAAGACAGGAGAGGTGTTAAGTAGCCAGTTAATTTGTATACATCATCCATGCTGCTGGTAAGTTATTTGTTCTTGTGAAGTTGGAAGCTATTTATTCCTGTGTTTTGAACAATGAGACTTGTGTGATGTTACACTGCGTTGAAATACAGTAAATAAAAATGTTCAGCCTCGTTGCTGGTTTTTCCGACACATTCAGACAATCATTACCACTGGTCTGCTGCATAGCCACTGTAAAATGTAGATTGTAAAGGCTCATTATTACGCTTATTACACATTATTATAATTCACCGGTAATGTAGCACATTATTTTTACTGACAACATTCTTTCTCAGCCTGGAACTTGAACCATTTTCTGATGCCCCAAAAATATATATTTAAATAATTAAATTAATGTCATAAACGTGCAACGATTAGACAACTAATGGCTTGACTACTAGTCGACTAGGAACATCTTTAGTCGGGGGCAGCCCTATCTACAATATATTACAACTATGAGAACTATAATACAATGTGACCCTTTCAAAAATGAGTGACAGCAATTATGAAGTATTATGACACTTGGCCTTATAGGTCAATGCTTTATAATGTGTTATGATTATTGTTTATAAAGCATTATGAATATTTTCTATAACTATACACTGCTATAAGCACAGTATAATACAATCTGTATCATAGACACAGATGTCATAGAATGTTACCAGTAGGTCCTGTGATTATCTGCATGAAGAAAAATAGCACTAGAGCTACGTTATAGTGTGGATGACACCTTACTTTGCCCTTTAGCAAATGTTAATGCATTCAACATTCCATTCAAAAGGCAAATAAATGAACTCACCTTCTGCTTGTTGAGCCTCATCTGGCAGCAGGAGGCGGCTCCAAACAGTATGTAGACAGCAGCTGCTATGAAGCAGTTGTAGCCCACCTTGTTGTACAGGTCGTAGATCCTCTGAGGGTTTGTACTGAGGGGAAACACAACAACATTACAGACAGCAAAAAAGTGCACATCTCACACAAAACAGAACATGTTCTCTAAATTCACTGAAAGCTGTTACAGTTCAAACATCTCGGGAATACCCTTGTTTGCTATCTTCCAGAGTGAGATGAGAAGATCAGTGGTCATCACAGATGTTCACGTAGGTAGCCTTGCTAAGTAAGAATCAACACTAGAAGCAAGGGGCAACAACTAGCCTGGCTGTGTTCTAAGCTCAAGAACACTTAATTCAGTTCAATGTGCTTTATTTGCATGAATGTTTAAGTTAAAAAATGTCATCCAAGGGGTTTGCAGCTAAATCACAAAGTTTGATTTGAATATAACATAACAAGAATGAATGCAGTCATGACCATTCAGTTTAGCAGTTATAAACAAATATTGAAGGTCAAAAGTGTTTCATGACTAACCACATAGTGGTGCTATTAACACCTCATTTCATTGTGTTGAACATGTAGCTGAACAAAATCTTTGTTGTCTTTGCCTCACAAATCACAAATTATTGACCACAACTCAAGTATTTTATAACTGGCCGCAAGGTGAAGCTATTGGTGCCAAGATGCTTTTTGTCGTGCACATGCTTATGGGAACTTTATATATATATATATATATATATATATATATGCAATAAGCAAATATCAGCCAATATAGTAGTCTAGCTCTAATAGAAAGGTCCATTCTGTATGGGCAGAGATCTGGAGTGTGACAGTCCAAGCCTTACTCTCGGTGGATGTCTTCAGGCACAGGCACATCTTCAATAAGCACTGCTGAATGTGTGGTGAAGAAAATCCCCAGCATGGCCTGAAGAAGCAGAGGGCATGGTAAGTGGACTGTACATACAGAGCCTCGTACCACCTCTCAGAGCACTTCATGTCACATTCACCCCCTCCACTTACTGTACATTCATGTACAGTAAATTCTCATGATATGGTTTATAAAAGAGCCTTGTGAACCAAATATGATCAAGCCCACTTCTTTAAAAAAACGGTTTGCCTTATGACACACTCTTATCATAAAACAGTTAGTGAAGCCATTTTGACCTTATTTTTGGTGTTTTTCCTCATTTAAAAAAAATCTTGAATTGAATATGAATAAAAGTAAGGCAATACAAATAATATGATGTAAGATGTTTCAGAAATTCTCACTCTGCAATATTCACTTTTAGCTTAAACTGTTTCCGACAGGTTCAACTTTAAGGTCATTTTGGAGTGTGTAGTTTGTGTTTGTGCTGCTGTTGAATTCTAGTGGGATATTTTGTCTCCCACGAGTCTGTCAGAGTGAAGACATTACACTGAACAGTCAAAACCCGGAAACGTGTTGTCTTCTTTGCGACAGCTGATCGTCCGCTGAAAACTGATTGCTGTTCGTGGGAGCGCAGGCACCATGTTAAAGCTGCATCACCCAGTTTCTGTGTGTCTACAGCTGCTTTAATCTGGACAGGCATAACATTTTATTTGACAGAGCGATAATCTGTCAAATATTACTCACATGGATGAAATCAAGTCACTTAGGCAGAAATACCTTTCAGTCAATAAGTAGAGGCTGCAATCACTTCTGGGCAAGTTCAAAACACCTTGTTACTACAATTTAAAGTAATTTCAACTGGTTAACAGGACTGGGTAAACTATAATCTGTAAAATATAACACTCATGAATGAAATCAAGCCATTCTGAGGCAGAAATAACCTTTTAGTCACAAGGTAGGAACTTCAATCACTTAAGTGCAAAACTGCATTTTATGGGTCGTTTTGGCAATTTAAAGGTATTCCAAAGTATAAAAGGACCAGGTGAGCTATAACCTGTCAAATAGAACACTCATGAAATCAAGCCATTCTGAGGTAGCAATAACCTTTCAGTCAGTAAGTACAGGCTTCAATCACTTGTTACTGGTTTCATTGCTATTTATTAAATAATAATAATTAAATCATTTCAACTGGTTAACAGGACTGGGTAAGGTATAATCTGTATAATCGGCGATGTTTATTTTCAGGTTGTGACTGGCCAGATTAAAGCAGCTGTAGACGCACAGAAACTGGGTGATGCAGCTTTAACATCCTGCGCGCGCTCCCGCGGACGATCAGTTTTCACGTTTCAACGGGCCCGATCCGTGGGCCATGAGGTTTGGCCCTGTTGATGGCTGTAGACACAGACGAACAACAACGCTGTATGGTATTTATTCTCCCGTTTGGTGGGCGTGTCTCAGGTGTTACCCAATCAACTGCGACAAGTTTGTAAACACAACGGCGTTAAAAAGGCAGGAAAATGCAGTGCGCTTGCGTACACAGCAGGGCGTTCAAGGCACCACCGTTTCCGTTGGGAAAAACATCGCTTCTGGTGTGAACACAGACATTTAGTAGAGTGGCTGCGATCAGCTGTGGCAGCAGCGAAGCACACGGACTCAGTGAACTTTCGGAGTGAGTCCGGGGTCATGGAAACTTTGTTGAAATGACTTGGTCGCAGTGCTGAGAGTCTCGCTCCGCCCCCGAGCATGGTGGTGCCTGACGCCGGAAGTGAAGGAAAAACATGGCTGTTTTAATGAATTCATTCTTGTTTTAAAACAAGTGGCTGAAGTGGTAATCCTCAAGAGTCAATAAATGATGTAGGCTTTACTTCCTAATGTTTTGGCTGTTTTTTTTTTTTTTCCATTTTACTTTTTATTTTTACTTAACTTTCGTGTAGAGAAGATGACTTAGAACCTTATGTGTCACCAGCTATCTAGCAACATATTTCTACATCAGTTTACATGCAGAACAAGTTTTACTATATGCTAGTATGTATTATTTTAATTTAAAAACATGTAAATATACTGTATGTTGCCTTTTAGTTGATGGTTTACAATTTTCCAGCTGCCATTGTTATGTGACGTTATTCAGCTGCTAGGCTGCTACTCTTGAAGTCGGGGTATTTTTCTCCGAGTTCACAAGTACCTTTCCAGAGTACGTTATCTATTTGGAAGTCGGAAAATTGCGTGGAGTCAAATCAAGTGCAACATGGATGCGGGGTTACCGAAAAGAAAGACCAAAGAGTCAAACTCACCAACATTATAACCCCCCACGTGCTCAACACGATCCCACACGCGGCGAGTTTAGGTCCGCAAATCAAGCCACGCATTATTAAACTGTGTTCTATTAGAAAAGACAAGAAGCTGCTGCTAGTTTACCTGCAGGTCAAACTCCTAGCAGCTCAGTCAGGTGACTGAGAACACCGGAAGTTCCAAGGAAAAAGTCGGATTACTGATTTCAATATCAAATCCAGTGTTAATTTAAAATATGCCAAATTTTATATTTAATGATTTTATGTAAATCAGACGCAAATAATTACATTAGGATAGAATGCATGTATCATAATTTTTAGTCTGTTATAACAAACAATTACTGGTGTAACAAAAGATACAGCGTGTCCTCTTTGAAAAACATTTTACATAAATTGTCATGCAAACACGAAATAAAACAAGTGACCTTAAGTCAGTCACGTGACTTTCATGGTGCTGATGCTGCATGCAAGCCGGTGTTGTGCCTAATTCTGCATGCCTGCCGAGAACTGCATGGACCTTGCGGGAGGTAACACCAGAAACACTCATTTATGCTGACAAAAGAGGTGGATGCAAATTTTGGCAGGTAGCCTACAACATCTGTTCTGCCGAATTATGCATCCATCTGTTAAGGTCCTTTTCAGTCACTTTGCTGTGCACACTGATCAAACGCGGGTATCACCGCGGTTACATTGTATTTGTAGCACTTAGATGCCAACCGTTCAAAGTGTTAATTAATTTTATCCTTTGATGTAACTTCCAGCGATGGGGCATTTCAGCCACACTAAAGTCCTGACATGATATCTCCCATTCTTAATTGGAACTGTTTTTCCCACTCGGCTAACGATTATTACGGTTTAAACTTGAACGCGGCATGACAAGCCACTATGCTGCATTCAGGACTTTCGGAAATACCAATTCCCATTAGCCCTCACAGACAACAAAATGGAAAGTGATAGCCTACAATTCTTTCTTTGTGTAGTTGCTCTTACTTTTCTCTGTGTGGTGCCTTGAGAGCGGTAAGGGTTTATAAAATGCAAGTTTGTTGTTGTATGTAAAGATACAAAAAAAAAACAGGTCTCACAAAGGTCTGTTGCCCAGGGGAGGCAAAATCTTCTCTTCTTTCTGATGATGCTGACAGGCACATTTTGTTTGATTTTCATGAGTCCCCTAGCAGGTTTATTGATCTAAAATCAGCCTACATACAGTACAGTGCAAACAGGTGACACATCTTTTGGAAGACTACTGTTTATCTAGTCAGTAGAGTTCCACACACTTGGAGAATTTCTGACAAGGAACACCTTAGCTGCTCGGGGTGGAACGACAGCGTTTTCTGTCTAACTGCATGTGTTGTGCTTCATGTCATCATGTAACATAATGGAGCCTAATATTCATGTCAATGTTTTATTCTGTGATGGTATAGTCAAAGGGAAATCCCCAAGCTGGTATAGCTATAAGATAGTAGAATATGTGCAGCCTCAGATTTTTATTGCACAGATGGGATGGAAACTTGAATGGCTTCAATAATTTCTGAATACAAACAGCTTCTTGCAGTAGGCCTATCCTTATGCTTAATGTTTATTTGTGTAATGTTACAACATAATTTCCTGTCAGTAGGTTTCATTTTTCATATTTCATTTTTCTTATTGTATGTTTTTCATATAAGTGAAAAAATGTTTTACCTTCTGTATTTCTGTATAATGGGTATAATTTTACACACACACACACACACACACCGCATTCTATTGTAATACGGACGTTAAACTCTCAAACAACGGGGCACAATGAATTGAATTACTGATGGTGGAAATTACCAGGAGACCTTGAAGGGAGCAGCAGCCTTCTTGTTGCATTCATTGCGTGACCTGTCTGTCACCGGCGGCAATGTAATTTACCACAGATTAAACATTAATAGAACTATGCAGTGGCCTGTTTAAGTGTTGTTTTTTCCAGGTAACGACCAACGACACAAGCGGTGGAATAGCAGGTTTCTAGCTGCTCTGCTACATGAGGAGGAGCACCAAACGCTACTTAGCTACACAGTTAGCATCTTAGCAGCTGCTCCGGGTTCCTAAAGGTGTCATCAAGAACCACTTAACGTTACAGAATATATACACAGTCTGTGGTACTACAGAGATCAGCAACATGACCTCAGCTTCCACTAAAGTAAGTCCATTTACAAACGTGAGAGTTTGTTGTCGCAGAATTAACTTAGCCCAATCTGAACAGTTACATTACCCTATTGTACACAAACGCACGAGCCCCTCTGTGTTTCCCGCTGCTGCTCGCGGGAGCGACGTAATGTTAACGTACGTCCTGGTGGATTTACCTTACGCTTCTAAGATTAAATATTCTGCCGAACAGCTCTGATATATTGGAATTGGTCATGACTTAACTCTGAGTTTGTTCTAAGATCAGTTACAGCGGTTTTGCAAGTTTAAAGCGTCATTCATTCATTCACTATAATCTATAAAACGTCTCTGACTATATACACAAAAGTATGTGGGCACCTGGCTCCTCCATTCTATTGAAGGAAAATCAAAATTTCATATTTCTCCAGCATACAATATTAGATGACAGAGTGCTTTCAGATTTGGTCCTTTCCTGTTTGAACATAACAGTTCCTTCATGCACAAAGCCAGGTGCATGCACACCTGACTGTGACCTCATCTCAACTCTTTTTGGTTGAAGTGGGACCTTTTTATGTACAGTCTCTGAGTGGAACACAGACTGTGAGCCAGACCTCACCACTGAACATCAGTGTTGGACCCCACTAATGCCCTTGTGGCCAAATGCGAGCAAATCTCTTCAGCCAGGTTCAACATCTGGTGGAAAAACCATGATCAACTGTCACATATGGCTGGATTGTCTGGCACCAGACACCGTTGCAGAGTCCAGGGGCGAGTTCAATCTCAAAACATTTTGCTGTGTTTTGTAATGCTAGTGTCTCCCACAGGTAGGTGAGATCTTCTCTGCAGCTGGTGCTGCCTTCACCAAACTGGGAGAGCTCACCATGCAGCTTCACCCAGTGGTAGACTCCAGTCCTGCAGGGTAAGTAACTTTTAGTTTACAGCAGCATCACCAGGATATGGAGGAATTCACAGTTATCATGGCAAATACATTCAGGAGTGGAAAAGGTTACAAGGCATATATCTGTTCACTGATCTGTCAGATTATTGATGATACAGATGTTTTAAAAATCCTCATGTTGTACTTAACACTTTATAACACTGCTAATGTTCTGCATTATATCTGGAAGATATGGAATCAATTTATTTCGCTTCTTTATCATCATACTCAAAAAGGTACAGTGTTAAACCTTCATAGTACAAAATAAAGAAACAATAACATTACATCAATCAATCAAAAACTGAAGCCAATGCTGCTACTTATGAGTACTCCCAACCAGTGAAGTGTATTTCTGGTGAAGTCCTGTTGAGACTTCTTTTTAAAGATTTTTTTTTTTTAGCCCTTTCTGGGATACAACTGGCTAATGAGGCCTTTCTGTCAATCAAGAAAATAGCTCAGTGGAGCCCAGAGACTTTATTGGTTTTATTTTATTTCCACATAATTTACAGGGATCAGCCACATGCTATTGCAGTTGCCATCAGCTGACAGTGAAAACAGGCCCTTTCAGGATTTGCATGGTAGAAGCATGGTATCAGTATCATGTCTGTGTATGCAGTACAGATGTAGATGTAGGCTATTTTAGCACTAAGGCTAGAAGTGATTCACTCTGACTTCACATGATCCTTACACATGTGATGCTCCTGTTAACCTGGTTGATTGATGATTTTAGTACTGATGACTAAAATCATTGCAGTTCCCATGTTCCCCCCAGTGGTCCGACAAAGAGCACAGTGAAGAGGAAGCTGTATGAAGATGGAACTGTGCCCGCTTCCTCCGACGGGTCTAAGAAGGTCGTCAAGAAAGCCACTGCTACTGTTGCCATGGTAACACCAGGCACTCCAACCGTCATCTCTGTGCCCACAGCCCAGGTTGTCGTGGCATCAGGAATACAGGGTTCCACCTCCACCCAGCCCCCCCTGAAGAAACAGAAGACTGCAGGTGAGTCAGGAAAACTGAAGAGGTCCAGCAGCACGTTACAACATGACATACACATCTCTAACAAAAGGTGTTGTTAATATATTCTTTTGCGTTCTATAATTAACCCAGACAAAATATCACGTTTAATATGAATTTCCCACCCTGTTTTGACTTTTATTGTACATTTAAATTATTGAGAAGCTTTGCACATCCAAGAACCTCTTCAACAGGTGCTGGAAGCAAATATCAATTGTAGAATGCACACACTCCTTGTTTTACTCTCAGTGTTTCAATCCGTGATTGATCTCCATCAGGGACAACATACTGCGTTTCCAGGCTCTTGAAATATTGGGGGCTTAGCCCAGCACAGAAATCTTTCATGTTTTAACCCCCCAAACCCCATTGCCGCCTACACAAAGTACGTCTATAAAGCAAATTATATATATATAGCCTACATTTATTATGAATTACTATTGATAATAATTAACACTGGTATTAAATCGAGGGGGTCTGGGGGTCCTCCCCCTGAAAAATTTGGGCTTTAAACACTTAATTTTCTACATTCTGGTGAATTTCTTTGCACCAATTTATTGAGGAAATGTCTGAGGTGACAATTCTAAAATAAGAAGAATATAGTGTAATATAATGCAGTAAGGCTGTCAGTTATATTTCTCCTGTAGATCAACCTAAAGTCATTTTAAATGTGCATATGGCACCTTTTCACCTCAATGATAAATTAGCTTAATTAATCTGAATTCAGTTAAGAATTATTTATTGATGAAATATTCAATAGCGGGGTCTGTGGGTCCTCCCCCAGATGATTTTGAGCATTAAACACTTAATTTCCTGAATTCTGGAGACATTTTCTGCACCAATTTATGGTGGAAATGTCTTTATTTTTTATAAAGGGAAGGACAAAATGTAGGTGGCAGGTGACAATTCAGAATATAAAAATATAATAGAATGTAATGCAGTAATCAGTAGCTTATTATTTTCTTTTTCTTATATCTATATATCGGTTATTTTCACACATTTAACGAATTATTATTATTTTTGGCCCACAACACAAGAAACAGCTCCAGCAGAGGGGGAGGGAGTGGGTGCTGTAAGAGATGTGATTGGGCCAGCCCAATGTCAGTATAGGCCTATGCTTTATGGACCCATTGTTGGCCCATTTTTTAAAAACCGTTGGACTTGTAGCCTACTCGATGAGTCGAGCGCACTGCTCCTCATCAGAGGAAGAAAACCGAAACTGAAAACACTTGTGATCAGACAGAAATATCACCACAATTCCACACAAATGTTCACTTCAGCATCTCTGATAAAGTGCAGCTCACATCCGCTTTAGAGGGAATGAAGCATCCTAGAGCGGAGAGACAGTCAAACAGAACGAAGTGTCTCTGAGCGAGTGGGAGAGAGACAGCAGGACACAGGGCGACAGGTGTTAGTGTCTTCTCACTTCTCACTACACAATTTTAAGCCCGATTTGCCAGTCGGTAAGCTCGGCGACCATCTGGCTGTGATCATGGGTAAATCACGTCATTTCCTGTTTCACAGTTTGGAGACCAGTGGCCTGTACTACGAAGCGGGGTAACTGACTTATCCAGGTAACCTCAGGTGTAACTTCGTGACGTTGGGTGTAACTTCCCGGTTAACCCGTACTACGAAAGGTGGATAGGTGCTAACCGAGGTCTGTTGCCATGGCAATTTACGCTGCATCTCTAAACTGCCCCGAGCAGGTTTTGTTCATGGTTAACTCGAGGTTACCCTGCACGTGGACTACACAGCACATCTGTTCTCAGTGTTAATGAGGAGAAGTAGGATATTAATATACACCACTTCATAAAATATATTTAGATTCCATCCTGATTTGTTCCACTGCGGCTGCAATGAAGTTCTGAACACAACAGCATTACGTTCAGACATCGAGCCCTGCAGCCTCTGTGATTTTAGAGAGGAATCTTAATCAATTAACGGGATAGTTTCTTAGATGTAGCCCATCTGTAGACTATAATTAATTCTCCTGAGTGTTTTCACATATTTAGATTGACTATTTTACGTGTCCAAAAATAACCGAGACAAAAAATCCTAGATGAAAGTGTGAAATTTAAAAAAAAAAAAGAAAAATCAGAATTTCCCTGAAATTAATGTCATAAAAAATGGAAATCCAGAGCAAAGTCTCTACAGTGCTTGATAGTGATTGTGGGCTAAACTCACAAGTATTTCCTCACTGCTAAATCTGATTGCAAAGTTTAATATAGCCTAATATAACTTTCCAATGCATGCATAATAGCCTACACGACAGACGTGTGTGTGATGTTGCAGCCTTGCAAAGTGAAGCTTCTCTATAATGTCAGAGAATATTCAAGTTTTTTACTTGTAGAGTAATCTTGGAAATGAACATTTCTCTCGGATTATCACCCCTCTCCGCTGTCTCCTTTTTTCTATCACAATGGACCTTCTGTGCAGTTGTACCTTTACATCTTAATCATATTACACATAAAAGAAGAGCCCATAAAATAGGTCTACATAGAGATTTAAACTACAGTAAGAACACTACAAATTTACTCAATGCGATGCCAACAAGCCTCCCTGGCTTTGTCGCCTGCCACGATATTAGATTTAGCCGTTAACTTATCTTTACATTCATAATTTCCTGACACTACCAACGTGCATTCCTCTGGAGAAATACGAAGCATGCGCCGTTAAGAAATAACTCTGTCTGCACAGCCGAACACGCCCCTTTTATGCGAACGCGCAACAATTCCAATTAAGTTAACACGGGGTTAACACGGACTCAACTAACCAACATCTTATCCACCTTCGTAGTACCGTTTCTCTCTAGTGTAGGGAGTCAGAGTTTCTCAACCCTGAGTTTGCCTGATAACCCCAAGTTAACTCTGAGTAGGTTGAACTCCCTTCGTAGTACAGGCCACAGCCGTCAAGGGACAGAGTTGTTGTCAGCTTGCGTAGTGTGTGGCCCCCTGTCACCGATTTAGTCACGTAGTGTGAACGCCACAACGACTTCATGGTTCCTGTCACAAGACTGTAAGTTGTGTAGTGTGAACAGCACGGCAAACGGCCAATGCTGAAAGTCGTGTATTCCGTACGAGCCTTAACGGTCTCTGCAATCGTGTGTGGCTTCTTAGCCTTAGCTATTATCTCGGCCACTAGATAGCTCGTCTCCAGTACTTTCTCTGACACGTTTGGACAATTCATAATCACTTGCTCTTGTCGATTGTGTTGACTTTTCAAATGAAACAAAAACTCTGCACCCTTGTGACTAGTGATGGATGATTTGTTGTCAGGTGTTTTTTAAGTTTGCTCTGAACCATTGCTTGGTTTGACATTGTTATACCACATACCAGGGCTCCAGACTAACATATTTTCCTAGGAGCACTGTAGCACTAACTGAAAATTTTATGGGCACAGGTATGGCTGGGCGATATGGCCAATGTTATCACGATTAAAAGTTTCATATCTTTCGATATCAGTAATTACCACAATAAGTATCAAATTGTTATTTCTTTAGAGTTTAAAGGCTGATTTTTGCTCCTGATTGAAAACCTGATGATTAATTGTGGTTTTCTTTATGGTCAACACTTGATGCACCTGGCGGTTACTCACGGAGCGCTCATCTGTTCACATGAGGAGACACCGCAGTTTCAAGAGAGTACTCAGACAGAGCGTTGCCCCCGTCTGAAGAGGCCCTGAGACACACACAAACGCTAAAAAATGTGGCCAGTTGCGTGGAAGTTCTTAACACCGACTTATTAACGAGAAACTGAGAGAGATACGGGGACACAGGGATTCTCCTGCTTGCTACAGCCTATTACATAAAAAAAGCTTGTTATTTTACCGCTACCGCTGGTCAAGGTAACTATTAACTGCAGGCCAAAACGGCCCTCTGGTGTAGACCCGTTCCCTCATCGTTTTTCAACATGAAATAAAAGTTTAAAAAATGTCTACAACTATGTGCGCATGTGCAGGTCACACACGGTAAAAGGGGGATGTGAGACATTTTGATGGATGTATGAGACGGCTGATGATCTGCATTTTCATGATAAGTTGCGTTACTATGGAATTTTTAATAAAATATTATTGTGATTTATTATATTTTTTTTGATGGCACCCCTGATGAAGCCATACGGCACCCTGGTTGAGAAAGACTGTCTTATAGTATATCATTCATTTCCACCCTTATTGTTTTCATTTTTCACACCTTTCTATTAATCACATCTTTTGGTGCTTTCATGGCACAGAATAGACAGAGAATCAGTCATCAGAGGCATGTCTTTCAGCCTCTTCCCTGCTGTATTTTATGTTATATATAATATAATGTTATGTTGTCTACAACCAAACATCAAAGCAGTATGTTTTTCTGTTTTAAAGCCATCAAGTCTCTCTGCTTGATATTATTTTATATCTTTGTTCATTGCTCATTTTAGCTAAGTTTGTGTTTTTGATTAACATTTCAAACAATATTACACATTTTCATCTTTGTGTATGTGTGTGTCTGTCTAGATGTGACCCTCAGTGCTCTGAATGACTCAGATGTTAACAGTGATCTTGTGGACATCGAGGGACTGGGTGAAGGATCTAACTCCAAAAAGCTCAACAACTTTGATCAAGGTAAAGTTCATGAACAACTACCGAAACATGCAAGGGGGCTGATTTTAGAATCAGCTTCTCTGGCCAAGTATGTGTATATGAGGAATTTGTCTCTTATTGTATTGACACACAGTTCCAAGAACAGTGGAGCAGTTTACAGGAAGATAATAGATAGACAAACCGCTAAAAGCAAGGACAACGTGTGTGTGTGTGTGTGTGTGTGTGTGTGTGTGTATTCAGAGCCAGTGAGCAACGGACTTTCAGAATAAGAAGAATGAGTAGAGGAAGTTAGCTAAGCACTGAAATCATTAACGGGCGTTTTTTCTCGGCCGTGTGAAATTTTTGTAGCGGCGCATATGTTGGAAACCATTTACATAATCTAAAAAGTTCGGAGGGGGTTCATCTGCAATCCACTCATCCCGAAGCACTGCCAAAGGACCTCGTACCTTGTGACCTAAGACTAGATCATTAGGACTGAAACCAGTACTCTCTTGACACACTTCCCTAACAGCCAAAAGCTACCATGGTAAACCTTCCTCCCAGTCCCTGTCCATTTCTGTGCAATATGCTTGCAACAAAGACTTTCTTTCAACAAAGACAGTTGGGTGAAACCGTTCTAAAGCGTCTTGGCTTTGTGCATGATAAGCAGATGCCTTGTTGTGCTTGATGTTTAGTTGCTTACGAACTTGTGACAACAAATGTGATGAAATCTGACCCGTGTTCACTCTGAATGATCTTTGGTTTTCCAAATATGTCAGTAAGCTGAGTTAAGTCCTTAACTACAGATTTGGCTGTAATGGTACATAATGGACAGTGGGCAAGATAACGCGTGATCTGGAACATCACAGTCAACAAATACTCAGATCCAGATTTCGACTTAGGCAAAGGCCCAACACAATCGATGATTAAATGTTCAAATCGGTTGTCGACTGCCGGGATTGGACAAAGTGGGGCAGGCTTAATAGCTTGATTTACTTACTTACTTGACATGGATGGCATCTCTTAATGTAAGCTGCAACATCACGCTTAAGATGAAGCCAAAAGAAGTAACGCAAAATGTGACAGTATGTTTTACTAACTCCCAGATGTCCAGTCTGGTCATGAGAACCCTTCAGCACTTCATTTTTATACTTATTTCGTACCACTATTTGGTACGTCTGGATCTCCCTCACACTCAAAACCCTGGGGCACCCACTTACGGACCAATACCGCGCTCTGCAGGAAATACCCACAGGCTGCACTTTTAGCTTCAAAGCTAGGCCGCAGCTGTTTAAACAGCGCACTCAAATCAGCGTCAGCCACTGTCAAGCTGAGAAAAGAAGGAAAATCGAGCAGAGCCATTGGACAAACACTGGGGATAGCAAGCACAACAATGTGGAATGTCCTGAAAAAGAAAGAAACTACTGGTGTACTGAGCAAGAGACGTCCAACAGGTCGGCCAAGGTAAACAACAGTAGCTGATGACAGAAATATGGTGAGAGCTGTGAAGAAAACCGCCAAAACATCAGGAAGTGACATCAGCAACAACCTCCACAGTGCAGGGTGAAGGTATCACAATCCACTGTTGGAAGAAGACTCAGAGAGCAGAAATATAGAGGCCACTCCACAGTGATCTGAAGCAAACAAGCTCATCTGTGAAGCATGCTGGAGGTCATGTCATGGCTGCTTCTGGAACAGGCTCATTAATATTTATTGATGATGGAACTGATGATGGTCGCAGCAGAATGAATTCAGAAGTGGACAGAAACATTTTGTCTGCCAGTTTACAGAGAAATGCATTGAAACTAATGGAGAGGAAGTTTATCCTGCAGCAGGACAATGAGCCAAAGCACACTGCCAACAAAACAAAGGACTTCATCAGAGGAAAAAGTGGAAGGTTTTAGACTGGCCAAGTCAATCAGCTGACCTGAACCCAACAGAGCTGCATGTCACCTCCTTAAGAGGAGACTGAGGGGAGAAACACCCCGAAACAAACGAGAAGTGAAAGAAGCTGCGGTAAAAGCCTGGAATAGCATCACAAATGAAGAATGCAACAGTTTGGTGATGTCGATGGGTCGCAGGCTTGAGGCAGTTATTGCAAGAGAGGGTTAGGCCACCAAATATTAAATGTTATTTACTTTAAGATTATTTGTTCCATTACTTTTGCGCACCTAAGAAAGTTGTTCAACACATCTAGATGTGAATACCAGGAAATGAAACTTGAAATTCTGACCTCTTGTCTCATACTCATCTTTTGATCTTAAACCCAAATGTCTTCAGTGAACAACAAAAACAAAGGAATTTGCCTTACCGTTCCAGTACTGTTGGAGGGGACTGTATGTGAGTGTTTGTGATGTATGTTAATTTCTGTTTATGATGGGCAGTTGGCACCTTAGCCTCTGCCGTCACTGTATGAATGTGTGAATGGATGAATGTGACATAGTGTAAAAGTGCTTGAGTGTTTGGAAGACTAGAAAGGTGCTCTACAAGTACAGACAGGGCTCAATGTTAAACTTTTTTGCAACTGGCCCCACTGGGCCAGTGGGTTTGACACTTACTGACCCCAAGACAATTTTTATTGTCTCTCCCTCCAAAAGTTATTTATTAGTGTTACAACAAAACCAAAGACTTAGTTACTAAGTTATAGTATATTGTTAACATGTTTAATTGTTTATTAAATATAAAAAAAACTAAACTAAAATGTAATCACAGTTAAACTTATTAAAAAATAAAAGGTTAACAAAACAATTTACTTTTAAAACAAAACATACTAACAGACTCAAACATGACGTGCTCTCTCCCGCTGACAGCCATTTAATAAAAAACTTTACACAGAGCAGCGGATACAGGTCGCCTCTATCCTGATTGACTGGTCGCCATGGTAGCGACTTGTCAATCACAAGGTAACCCAGCCCTAAAGCATCCCCTGCTTTCTGGTGCATTTTCCTTTAAAGAGGACCATAATTTAATAAATGAAGATCATGTTGTGTTGAAGAAGACTTGAAACTAGCGACTGAGACCATAAACCCATTAGGAAAGTGTTTACTGAAACACTGAAGTTTACTTGTTTTGTGAAGTGTGACTATTTTTCCGGGGGGGGGGTGCTGTTTGTCCTGCCCTCGCTGCTGAAAAAAATCCAAGAGGAAACACTGTATTGTTATCAGGGAAAAATATATAGCCATAATTATCATTATTGTTTTGTTGCCCAGCTAGGGATGTGCGATACGACCATATCTATCGTTTGACAATAGAAAAAACCTCCATCGTTTGCAATTATGCTCTATTGTTTATATCGCTGTGTTGCAAATTCCACACTTTACCGTAACATTTTGGTGAGGGAACGGTGCTTTGCACCGCGGTGAAGTTAGTTTTACGTTGGAATTCGACATCCACCAAATGTCCAACATAAAACTAATATCCAACTTGGGCCGGTGTTGCGTAGAAGAGAGCCACACACCACTATCCAGCAGGGCGAGCCAGTATGTGTGTGTCAGTCAGGTAACGTTAAATGACTTGCCCACGGACATACAGCTTACTTTATAGTTCGCCGGGACATGCTGTTGTAATGTTCGAGAGCTGTGAATGTCGCTGTCTGGAGCTGCTGTGCTGCTCTGGGACCGTCTCGTCCTCTCATGTTAGCTTTGCAGCAGCAAGTAGCACCGGTTTGCTAACCCACAACCTAGCTAACATTAGTTACATTACTTGCTGTGTTGCTGTTCACTCTATCATGGTATTTGTCATGGTGTTGGATTTCTCCAGAATCGCATACCTCACCTTTTATAATGCAGAGAAATATCCAGAGTTACAGTTGGAAATGCCATATTTCATTGAATTTACAAAAAATGATCTATATCGGGATATGAATTTTTTACCATATCACACAGCCCTACAGCCCTAAATCAAAGCAGTGTAACCATCAAGCTTCACAGACAAAAGTTGAATTCACAGGGATTTGTTGAATTTGCATTAATAGTTGTGATTGCGTTATCTCGAAATCCTGGAGGGCCTGATAGACCAGTGACTCTACATGTTCAAGGAAAACACATCAGTGAGCCACACTGGTGCACCATGAAAATACACACTGTAGAGCAGGGGTGTCAAACTCATTTTCACCAAGGGCCACATAAGCATTACGGTTACCCTCAAAGGGCCAGTTGCTATGGTGGCCTGTAGGTTTCAGGCCTAATACAAAAGCCACAACACGAACACAAAAGCCACAACACGAACACAAAAGCCACAACACGATTACAAAAAGCTACAACACAAATACAAAAAGTCAGTGAAAAAAAAGAAGTGAGCCACAACGGAAGTTGACAACGAAAGAGACGCTTAGTAACAGTGGATTACTTGTGGCGTTTGTATTTGTGTTGTGGGATTTGTGTTCGTGTTGTGGCTTTTGTATTAGGCCTGAAACCTACGGGCCACCGTAAGTTGCAACTGTAAGACTGTATAAACGTAACTACTCCTTAACATATTGTTAAATAACTGTTTAAACTCACTCTTTATGTTATTATGTATTCAAGTTAAGGACATTTATCAGATGTAAACATATAGCCTTAGTTAGAAAAAAAGTAAGAAAATTTCTCTGTGTTATTATAACATAAATAAATGAATTTATCAGATTTAAAAACCCTCATTACTCCATCAATCAAAGATCAAAGATTTCAAGTAGATAACAAAGACAAATATCATCAAACATAAGCTTTTACAGTAGCTTTTCACTTTTTCGCAGTCCAGAGGTGCAGAACCCTGGTAAAACAAATAACTGTGAGCTGCTAATAACATGAGGGACAGATGTGGCATTTGATAAAACAAATAGTCCAGCTGCACACAGCCTTGCAGCTAATCACATCCAACTAATGAGAGATAGTTTGATTACCTGGAAAAATGCAGACGTATAGGCTACTGGAGCATAAGCCTAGTTCACACTACACGATTTTTAGCCTGATTTGCTGCTCGGCGACCGTTGGGCTGTGATCGAGAGAAAATCAGCGGTTGATCTGCGGTTGCCAGTCATTGTGTGTGTGATCTACTCAGCGACGCATCAAAAACAGCTCCCCGACACATTTCTGACACGTCGCCGATGTCTGCCAGATATCTAGCATGCCAAATATCTGGAAGAGTCGGCCGACTCGACATCCACATCCAACCAATGAGAGCAGGCAGCTACTTTTCATCCCCTCCAGCTCTCTCTGTAGCTCAGACAATCCCTGCTATCCACATGTGCCAATCCATTCTTTCACCCATAATGTTTGTCTTTGTAATTTCTATTTTTATAATAACAAACAACAGCTGTTTTGTCTGTAGGCAATCTAGTGGCAGGATGCCGTCACTTCTCGGGTCACAAAATCGACATGCATTGTGGGAGATGTAGTTTATGGCAGCATAGATTTTTAAAGCTTTCGCAGGCCACATGAAATGACGTGGCGGGCCGGATTCAGCCCGCGGACCTTGAGTTTGACACATGTGCTGTAGAGAATTTTGTCTCAATCCCACACACAGTTCTGCTGCCCCAAACACTAGAGAACATGGATTCATCCGCCACTGACAATTGTCCCCAACAAATGCACTATTTCCTCTTTTTAGAGTAATATTTGTTACAGGACAGTGGTCAGCTGTTTAACCCTCTTACGGAGTCCTTTTAAAACATTAAACTGTATATTTGTGAACTGTGTAAAAGATGTATGCCAGTGAGCTTGGGGCTGAGCCACAGGCAGGACAGGGAAGTTTGACGGATTAACACATTGTTCTTTTTGTTGGCAATAATAAACATTTAAAATAACTCCAGACTTTTCATTTATTGCTTTTGTGTCTCCATAGATAACCTGAACCTGGACTCAAGCCTCATTATGAATCCCAGTGACCTTGCTCTGCTTTCCCGTTGACCTTTCAACTTCCTGTGGACTTCATAGAAATGATGGACAAAACTATGAAAATAATACCAACGTTGTAATAAAGTGGTTTGAGCCAGATGATGCTGACTACCCACTTTAGAGTAATATACTAGCACTGCATATTGTGGTGTATCATGCAAGACTCCTCTCCAATCCAACGCATCCCTTATCCGTGAGACCAGCTGGTACTATCACAAATGTGTTTGGATCACTTCAAGTTTTCATTTGACATTTTTATTGTAGACCATTTCTTCTCTTCCTCTGTGACTTATGCTTTGTAGGAATGGCCCGAAAATCCTCACATTTGAAAGGAAGATTAAATGCAGTGAAGATCCTGTGTGAGAAACCAGAAAACAAACAGTACAGCAGAGAAAGTCAGCTGCATGGACAAGATGAAATACTCCCCATCCAGATGCCCCCATTTTTCAAAAAGACAGGGATCAGAAAGCATATTTTGGACTGAAAATGTAAGCAGGAATGGGTACAGTTATTTTTAATGTGAATTGTCTAAATCCCCCCCCCCCCCCCCCCCCCCCTCTCTCTCTCTCTCTCTCTCTCTCTCTCTCTCTCTCTCTCTCTCTCTCTCTCTCTCTCTCTCTCTCTCTCTCCATATATGTGTGTGTATATATGTATATAGTATGCGTGTATATATGTATATAAAAAATGTTTAAGTCTTGGTATCTTGAGATAACAGAATTTCTTGAGAAAAATTGATTTTTCTTGATGACAGTTTTATAAAACTAAGATATCAAAATGGCAGAAACACATGTGAATTGATAAGTAGGGTGGAAGCAACTTATTTTAAAGTATGTAAGTCGTAATAATTAAAGGGGCTATTTGTAGTTTTTCAGTGTTAAATCTGTTTTCAGTGTTAAATTTGTAGTTTTTAAGTATTAAAATCACTTATTAAAAAATAATTTTCACTGCCTTTTTGTCAATGGGTTGTAGCCTCTCTTAGAAATGAAGCACATGCCTATTTTTACTGTTACTTGGAACAGCCACTGTTCTGCTTTCAATGTGAACTGTACACACTCTCCAACTACAGCGAAAACACTGCAGCTAACGAAACGCAGTCCACTAAAACCATAAAACAACCAGCTCCCAGAACAACACAGACTCCAACACAAAATCCATGTAAGGATACAAAACAACAATAAAAGTTTATGTGCTGAAGCCTGTCAGGCCAAACCAGAATCAGATGTTGGGGGGGGCAACCGTGAACATCAGAAAGGCTGGCGTTACGGAGGTTCATGTTAGCTCGCCGGCTAATGCTGAGCAGTTGCTAATGTTATCCGGTGCAATGTATAATATGTAACGTTATGTCTTTCCACATTACTTCACCAGCTAACGTGATCCACAATACTATCCTGTGTACCACCAGTATTGTGTCAAAGTGTTGATTTAGCCTGCAAGAAAGTATGGTAACGGTACACAGCAAATATGGAGTGGGTTGTTTATACCAGCCTTGATGCAAGACAGGAGCAGCCAGCTACTTTAGCACGGATCTACCGCTGTTTGCTTCATAAAATTCAATTTAGATTGATTGACGTTTTACCGATACTCAGGTACACAGCTTCTCCACCGTCTCAGTCGCTGTAACTTATGTGAAAAGCAGCAGCTGAGCTCGACGGAGTTTACAGAGTGTTGTGTGAAGCTGTCTCCCTGTCTTGTCTATAGCTGCTGTCACATTGCCTTTTTTCCAGGAGTATTGTGTCAATAAGCTGCTCTCTGCACTGTATGAACGGTACGGAGCCTTGTTGATCTGCCTCTGAGACGGGAGCGTTGAAGTAACAGAGGCTGAACATGTCTGGAGAAAAGCCACAGCCAGCATGCCGGTGTTTCCACGTTTACTGCGGGATGTTTGTATGAAAGCGGTTGTGTTACAGATTATGCTCGCTCATGAGTTCAAGTGAGCACGCGTCTTAAAACCGCACTACTAGTGGCCGCTGAAAACTACATATCGCTCCTTTAAAAAAACAAGTTCACAGCTTAACTTGTTGTTCCTCCTTTGTTCCTCTTTCAAAAAGGCAGAGACCTTAGAATGAAAGGTAAATGAACAAATGATGTTAGTGACTTCCAGGAGTCAACAATACTACCACATCTAGATTCTGCACTTAGCCTACTATATTTCCCAGGCCCCATAGCAATAATCTATATTTATACCAAATGTGCATATAAACTTAGTTATGGAAGTTAAAATGTGATAAGTGATTTGGGCTTGTCTTCTGTCAATATTGTACTGTATCGTTAGCTGTCTGACATGAAACAGCATCATGTATATATATTTTTTCAAAGCATGTTATGTTCTATATTTTCTAACATGAATTTTCACCTTTCACCATTTTATTCATGTTGGTACAATATGAAAGTCAACATGGAGACACAAGAAATGTGCTAATTCATCATGTCTGCTTTTATTGTTGTGAAATTCATAAGTACAGTTAGACTTGACTGTATCTGCGTCAGACCTGCATTGCATTGAAAGCTGGATGTGGGAAAATCCCAACATTATCACACTATCTCTCAGATTTATTAATATTAATAACAAAGTTAAAAAATATCTTCGAGCACACGGCTCAAATGTAGGTCACTTTGGATAAAAGCATCTGCCAAATAAGTAAATGTAAATGTTGAGCCTAATGACAACTGATCATGTTGACCTCAAAGTAGTTGTTGATCTGCCCCATCAACATCCCGGATCAAACACTCGGCGGGTGGTATGTGTTCCGAGCTGTCTGCACAAGACTCAGATGATGAGAGGAGGTGGACTGTGTTTCTTGTGCATCAGTGATGCTTGGTGCATATACATAGTCAAGATGGACGCCGTTTCCCCCATATTATCTTGTTTTCGCTGTTTCGATTCTCCCAAGACCAAGGTTGTGTTGAAAAGTGGTGGGGACATAAGGGCCCAGATCAGGGGTGCGATGATACACTTGGGTCACGAGACAGTGCTTGACAACAAGACAAGAAGATTTTGAAAACTATTCGAAGAAATAGCCTATTTGATGCTGAAATATATGAGCGGGGGGTCTGGGGATCCTTCCCCAGAAGATTTTGAGCATTAATCATTTATTTCATTTCATTTTCTGCTCCAATTTATGGTGTAAATGTCTTTATTTACATAAAAGGAAACAAAAAATTCAGCTGCCAGGTGACAATTCATAAATACAAAAATATAACAGAATATAATGCAGTAATCAACTGCTTGTTTTTTTTATGTAGCTTATTAATAAACCTTTCTCAAAGCATTTTCATTTGTTAGTTAACATTTCTTGGTGCAAACAGAACATTTTTAACAAATGCTTTCAAAAAATGATGGGGACAAAATCAGCCATTTCAAAATGTGGAGGGGACATGTCCCCAGGGTAAATGACACCTATGCCCAAGACATAAATTCAAATAATGCACTGCAGAATGTTCTGGGTGTATATATGCCTATGTAGGCTATATAGCCTTTGTCCATAAATAACTGTATATAGCCTTTTGTTTTAATTTATATATTACCATATTTTAAAAACACATTTAAGTCTAAGTTCTGTGCGTGTAGCAGGAAGGACCAATAAATCTTTTTGTTATACACTTGTGCTGTTCATTTAGAGGTAACATTTGTGAACCTCAGTATGTTGAAATGAGAATATTGATATGAGCACACATTCTGCTGGCACATTTCAAGTCTGATGTGTACTGAAGTGAAGAGAAACCAGTGGCCATGTGGAAGGTAAGAAAATCCCACAGAATAATCTAAAATACTCTTATGCAAGAATGTATGGTGCAAAAATAGCAGTGCTGCCCTTTAAAGGTGCGCAGTGGATTACTGTGTAAAAGATAACCATGCTATTTAATAATCTTGTTCATGTTTGCTTCATTTTCTTACTTATCAAACTACATTCAGCTGCTGGACACCAAACACCATCATATTCTCTCCTAATTTAAAAATGAAGTGAAGTCATTTCCACAGTCCAGTTCCAGAAATAACCCTCAAGTGAAACTGGAAATGACAGCGGCTTCGGCCACAACCGGCTCTGTCTCATGTACCTTTATTAGTTCAGTATGTAGACGCATATAAAACATGAAAGGATCAGACATTTTGTTTTTCAAATATTGGGCGTTTATTAATAGTGAAACAGACATCTATCTAATTCTTCAAAGAGCAATACGTTAATATTTAATAAATAACACTGTACAGATATGTAAACATAAGGTACAATACGTTTTCTTATTTGCTGGAGGAAGACGGTGTTGAAGAGGATTGAGAGTCTGACAGGAGCAGCACATATCATACTGGCAATGCAGAGAGAACTACCAGTAATGATGTGCTGCTGCAGCCTGACACACTGACTGCTAGCCTCAAAACACACACACACACACACACACACACACACACACACACACACACACACACAGTGTTGTTGAATAAAAATACAGAGGTAGGCTCCCATCAGACATTTCTGTTCACAGCTGTATTTATAAAAATAGTATGAATTTGTATTTGATAAATAACAAAATAGCCACTGAGACGATTGGTTTGATTGAGCTTTGGGTGTTTTAAATGATTTAGATTAAGGGTAGGTTAAGGTTTAGGTCAACAGTGAAGAAATTAAATTTGTAAATGAAATCAAATGAAGTAAATTCTACAGTATCATGTTTATAATGTATGTGTGATCATGCATGTGATACATAAATGTGCAAGTCTCCACCATGTTTGAACCAATGAAAGATGCAGCTTTCCATTTCAACACAGTGTCAGTCATTGGCTCCACTAATCTAAAATGTTTAGTTGTTTTATATGCATTTATTTTTGCTGTAGAATTGTTACTAGCCACATTTGAGTGGATGAATTTAAAGTGTAACTTTGGGTGCATTTATAAAACCTCCGGTGATGACTGAAGGGAACAGATTTCCTCTTTTGGCATCTAAAGAATCTCCACTCGCGGTGACAGTGTGGCAGTCGGTGTCTCACAGGATGGCTTTGATAAATCCACCTGCTAAAAAAAATAGAAAACGTAATACAAAATGTAATGAACATGCTCTGCTAACACTCCTTCAGTAACTGCAGACACTTGGGGTGAGTGTGTGTTTAGTCATGGCCAGGACAGCTACTTACGTTTGCATCTGCACCAAATAATACGATACTTAACAATACTGAATGTATTATTTTAGTAACCATATTAATATTGTTAGATTATCACATTTACTAATGTCCTTTGCTATGTGGAGCTCTGACCATCAGGATAAAAGAGGTGGGGTGGTGATAAAGTGATAACGAGCCAATCAGAGCAGAGGTTACACTACACTGTGCAAGTGAATGCATCATTTCTAGCAGAGGATAAGGTTCAGGCTGTGAGAGGTATTCTGACACTTTTGAGATAGTTATGTGTTTATTTAGTACATCATATGGGATATTAGTATTTTAATTATTTCTGACAGCAGCTGATAGCTGTGCTTCCAGCAGGCGTGACAATTAAATACTGAATATTTAAAATATTAAAAAATTTAAATTTTACAAATTAAAAATTGTTTTAATTAAAAATCTCCCCTGAACT